GGCGTGGCCTAAATATGAAAAAGAGTCCTCACATTAAAGCAGCTTCATTCAAACGAGGGAAAATCAGCACTTTTGCTGGTAAAACACAAATTCTGCATTGGTTAACTGTGTTTGCCATACACTGTAAAGATAAGTTTAAAAGGTTGCAATGACTTTGCCCTTTTAGGGGTGGAGCTACATTTTCAAGTAGAGGGCTGAATATTCGCATAGAAAGGTAAAATGGTAATATTTCTACTGGGTATACTTACCCAAAGTGGTTTCATGTCCTTAGATGTACCTGGTACATACAGCCTAGGCCAAAAAATAGTTCTGTTTCCGATAACATGGCATTTGAAAATAGGGTAGGAAGGTAGGGAATTCTTGTGGGGTGCATTCTTTTTGTGTTGATCATATGTAGGTGTCTGCGTGTATTCCATGGTAAAAGGTGGTAATTGATGGTTTTTGTTTAATTTTTTCATTGTTCCCAAAACAATATTAGGGTAGGGACTGTCAAAATAGGGTAGATGGGGTACCGGAAGCAGAATTATCATTTTTTGGCCCTATGTGTAAATATTGAAGCAATTGCCAGGAGTCAATGGCTGTGGATTCTCTCTTCATTGATACGACCACACTCTATTGAAAGTTAACAATCACGCTATCAGGACTGGGGTGTTATGGATCTGCTAAAGACCGGATTGTTGTTCCCCCTCACTCCCCCATCGTAATTCCTATATTTTTTGCGTGATTTTCCTAAAATTCGGCACGAATGTTGGTTGGCCAGTACTCTATTTGATGTCATTTTGGTAGATACCACATTTAGAGTGCACTTTCGAAATTCACTTCATCTAATTTCATTTTGTTTTACAAACACCCACATGAATTCAAAACGTCTGCGCCCAGAACGGCTTCATGGCTTTTCTGCGCAAAAAAGCGAGGAGTGGGTACAACTCGATCACAATGTTGAAATGGTCACAATTTTCTTCTGCCCTTTGTTTCCTTTTTTTTTCTTTCTACATGATGCTCCGCTTCTTTTCTTCTAAACAGTACCTTGTATAAACATGAAACTTTGAACAAAGATTAACCCTTATCCAACATCTTCAAAAGTGGCCATCGCTTGAACGAAGTCTTGAACAAAATAAAACTCATGTTGATATTTTGTAATCAGATAGACCATTAATTGACAAACAATATTTTGTCAAGTACATGAAGTCACTTGACCTTTACTTTAATACGGGGCTTACAAAAAGTGAATGGTGTTGTCATCGCCTGAAAGAGCCCCCCCCCCCCCCCCCGACTATTTAAAAACCATTCATCAACATTTTTCCAAACTTACCCTTGGAACTTCTGTGGAAAAAAATGTAATTAACAGTTTTTGGGGAAAGCTAACAAAATTCTACATGTTTTCATGGATTTTGATGAAACTTAGATGCAGTGACCCTTGGGTGCATGAAAAGACACAATTCTTCATGGAATTACTGAGGTCAAAGGTCATGTAGGGCTCATTAGAGGTCATTGTTCAAATATGCTTCAAATGTTTCTTTGTCTACAGAATTTGATGGATCAGTTTAATGTCACTTAGAAGTTGGATGGAGTGCTCCTTGGGTTGGGGTTCATCACAACTCTTCAAAAATTGGAGGTCAAAAGTCATGTAGGGGTCATTTGAGGTCGTTGTTTAAAAATGCACACAATGTCAAGAGCATTTTTTTTAAGAACACAAAATATATAGGCGACACATGCGATCCGCAGATATAAGTCTTGTATTAATTCGTATCAAGTGGCAATGTTTTGGGCACAAATAATGACACAAATAAAATGTTATCAGCTACATTGTTGCTGTGATGTAAAGATACTGTGCTTTCAATACATACATTTAGTCATTCCTGCATGTACTTTGTATATTTTGGAATTGTTTATCAAAGTGCAAGCATATTTTTTAAGAAGCTACATAATTTCTCAAAATATTAATCCCACCTTTTCAAACATCAAGATATTACTTTCCATGCAAGTCCAAACATCCATATGATATAAATTCAGCAGAACACACTGCAAGGAATTGACGTATACTCTGCGCATATTTTTTTTAAAATTATTTTCATGTTTACATGCCCACATATACATGAAAATCACTTGCAAGAATAGGTGAAGTCCACCGTTGCCCCCCTGTGATGCTGGTAGTGTTTACAAACAAGGAAATGCCGCAGCTGCTGTAACCTATGTTATTTGTAGCCAATCACACTAATTTAAATATGAAATATTTAATCTTCTGGAATATTCAACCCTCTACTTTAAATTGTAGCTCCACCCCTAAAAAGGCAAAACCCTTGCAACCTTTTAAATTTATATTTACTGTGTATGGTAAAACATAGTTAACCAATGCAGAAGTTGTGTTTTTACCAGCAAAAGTGATGATTTTCCCACGTTTGAATCAAGCTGCTCCAATGTGCGGCCTCCTTTTCACATTTAGGCCACACCCACAAAAGGGTAAAAATAACAAGTGTTTGAAAGTTGGAATTTTTTTTTATCATGCCTCTGTTTATTTAAAAGCATGAAGAACAAAAGAAAATGGATGTTAAATACCGTTTTTCTAAATTTTGCACTCCCCTTTTTAACCGATCAAGCTCCGCCCCTAAAATGGGCAAGATCCAACATGGATCCACCTCTTAAAATGATTTTCAGCCCATTTTGACTAAACATGCCAATTTTCAAGATTTTACCACCCAACTGAATGGTATTTTCCATATTTGAACCAAACTGCTAACATATACCGCCTCTTTTACACATTTAGGCCACGCCCACAAAATGGGTGGAACATAACAGGCGCTAAAACGCTAGAATGTCTTATTTTATGTTTAACTTTATTTTCAAAGCATAGAAAAACTAGAAAATGGATGTTAAATACAGTTTTTATGAGTTTTTATTGTTTGCACCCCTGTTCCAAAAAATCAAGCTCCGCCCCAAAAATGGGCAAAATCCAGGATGGGTCCCGATCTTAAAATGATTTCTAGCCCATCTTGACCCCACATGCCAAATTTCATGCTTTTACCACAAAGTGCACGATTTTTCGCTTAGCAGCTCCACTACTACGTGTGATGAAGACGAAGATCTTGAGGACGATGATTCGGAATCCGAAACGGAGGTGGAAGATGACGAATTATCTGATGAAGACGAGTCTAGTTCTGATTTGGAAGACAATACCGCATATATCGAGACTGGTTGAAAGAGTCCATAGAAGCCACCCAGGAGATGTGGAGTGACAAATATGAAAAGTACATTAGCGAGGATATGAGTAAAGATCAGGCCAAGAAAAAGGCCAACAGGAAGACCCTTTGGGCAGTCAAGCGAATCTTTTTCAACAAATACAAGGATTTTTTGTCAAGCTACCTAGTTCTGAAAGACAGTGGCACTCATCAAGAAATTGTGGAAGATATCGAACGAAAATTGATTACGGGCACGAAATTGAACACAGCTCTGAACAGAATTATGCCTAGATACCGTAACACTTTTGACGGACTGTTCCAACAAGATGAGGATGACGAAAACGGTGAAGACAGTGATGATTAAAGACTAGTAGTTTCAAAAAGATTACTCATTTTTAAAAATAATCTAGCAGTGTCTTATAGGGAAAAAAAGAAAGTATTTGAAATAGTCGCCCCTTATCACTCTAACACAGTAATTCCTTATGGCTTAGAAGAAGAGCATGCCCATGCATGGAGATTTAAACTTGTGTGGGTTCTATGGCTTTAAATAGACAGTGTATTGTAAACCGGTATATGTCAGGTACAAACGACAATTTAGAAACAGGTCTGAAATCATAAAATGGGCAGTTTATAAAGTTGTATGCATGATAATGATAAATAAATTCTCAAATAATCCTGGAAAATCATCAGTGTGAAATGTTTTCCTTTTATTTATCTTAATACCCATTCCTTATTATTTGCTTTATCTGTTGACTACCCTGGCCCCATACGTCATCCCTCATCAACAGTACAACGCTCCACGTGCACTAAACTGACCAGCAATTAAGTCCAATGCCATCATAATTATGCGATGGCCCCCGAATCCATTCATGGCTTGGATATGTTCACAATGCAGGTTGTTATTGAAGCGATTATATAACGGTGACGATAATCCTTTTATCAGCTTCCCATGACTGAGTCGTCAACTCAGCGGTCAGATTCTTCATAATTCAATACTCTGCTCAAAATTGTTCCTCGGTACCGCTAAATCTCAAGCTCAGCATCGACGCACAGCGAGGCATATACATGTGATTGTATCTAACGTTCTCTTAGCAATGCGGCCACAAACAACGATTCCATACGGGGAGATTTTAAAAACACCGCGGACAATGCACATGACTGGACTTGTCCGGTTGTTTGTCATCATTCGATGAGTCAGCACTATGACGTAACTGGATTCCCCCATTCGAGTACAAACAGGCACGATTATGATAGGCTGTACCATTTTTACTAGTAGGTAGGTTCAGTGACCCTCCTCAGTAAAACATACATGTACATGTACTGTATTTCTCTATACATGTACTTTTTGTATCGTATATTTTGTATAGCTTATTAATTCATTAATTCTTATTATCTTTACTATGACCTTATTATACATTTTGTTTAAATTGAAATCAATTCCCAAGAATTGTTGTAGGCCTTTACATATAAACATAAGTACATGTACATTCAAATCCTAAAGTGAAGCAAAATCCTTTTTTCCCATTTGCATACCGCATTGTAATGTATAAATACGTGATTACATACAAATTGATAAATATTTTTCCTTAAAACGATCATTGAAATATTAAAATGAATATTTTTAATCTAATATAACGTCCCTCACACATTTGAAACACCCCTATTGACTACTGGACTTGGTAGGGGCCGTCTCCTCATTTTATGCTAATGAGGTTGTCAGGTGGGCTAAATGCGGCGTTCTGATTGGTCGAGAGGCCCGGGTCCAGGTAAAAAGGGGGCGTGGTTTTACCTGGACAGACGGGTTGCACTACACCCGCACGGGCCAGCCACGACAGCCGCGGAACATCACGATCCACAGGTGACGCCGAGACGAGACGTTTAAGGCCTAAACACAATGAAAGAGGATCTCTTTGATGTGGTACGGGAATAGTTTCCTTAGGCCTACAAAGTCTGGGATCGAGAAGTCTTAGCCACTGGCAGAGTGCTTCATCACGAAGGTAAAGGGTTTATTTCTCCTTCTTCTTGTGGGTGGGGGCTATATAATTTTCGTTTTGCTAGAAATCAAATGCAATTTCAACAAGCAAAAATGTTATTAATGTCTTTATACATAAACAGCCCAGATAAAATCTTGTTTTATGTACAGTCTCTTTACCACCACAACTCTGTTTGCCCTTGCTGATGCAGTTGTACATTTGATATTTTTTTCGGGTAAATGTCTTGAACTTTTTGTTGTTGTTGAAGAAGAATGCATAAGATAAGAACTTGTTCTTGAACGCGCATATAGAAAAAGTGTTCAAAACGTTCGGATGGAATTGGTTAGATCTTCACAGCTACATTTTGGCCCAATATGTATCGGGATCAGTGCGTATGATCCAGGAAACCATTGGAGCTTCAGAACCTTTTTATATAAATTCAAGGACAGGGATTTGTTTCGCTTACTTCCAGGCACTCAATCCATCCGAGGGATATCTGCCGGTAAGCCCATCCTAACGAACAGTGCATTTACAATTGCGAATATGACTCAAGTCGGTCCAGTTCCAGGTGAGCCGCCGCCGCCTTATGACTATGAGAAGGCGAAAGTCCAAACGTCTGAACCCGGCCCACAGCAGGCGGTCATGCGGCAAGGCGGGCAGGTGAATGATGGCTGCTGCATTTGTTTCAACCGAAACGCGCCAGTCGACATTGGCAGCGATGACGACAATCAAGACCTGTCATGCAGTTGCCTTCTGCGATGTCTGTGCTGCTGTTGCGTCTTCAAATATTGCAGCAATGACTGCTGCAATAACTAACGCGCATGTCTGGAGGATTGTTAATGATTTTACTCCTCTACATTACAGCATGCATGTTTCCAACTCTTTCTGAGAAGTGAGGATTCTTAACGAAATCCTTTTAATTGGATTCAATTTCTTAATAAAAAACCTAGCTGTTTAGCATTCAGATCGATAACAGCTAATCAAGAATTGATCAGGCAAATTCTGAATGAATTGAAGATGAGAATATTTGAATTAGTCATTAGTCTAGCCTATAAGACGTAAAGTATTGTTTGCTTTTCTCTAGTTATTAGTTTTAAAAATGCAAATACTATAGATTCCAAACCTTGGCATCTATAATGTACGTTTGCTCTTAGAAATTTGAGTTAACCTAATAATGTAAATTGGTGTCTCCCATTGTATGTAGGGCTTATCTAGTCTCGCTGCGTAGTTGATTTGACGGTCTAATTTTAGTTTTGTATGTGTTTATGCCTCCTCTTCACAAGCTTTGCAGACATCCACAACTAATTGCAATTTGTAATATTGGGAAATTTTCTTATTACACTGAAACAGAATGAGTGGACTAATAGTTTAATGACGGTTGGTCATCGGAGTGAACTAAGTTGCATTATGTTTTCAGATGCAGGGATGTTACATTAGTGGGTATAGCTACGGGATCCTCATTAGTTAGCCACGAAAAAAAATCTGATAACTTTCTAAATTTGTTTTGCATGTTTTCTAAAACAGTTTTGCATATTTCTTCATATATTCACAAAGTTTATATGATGTTATCACGAACTCAATTGCCAAACTTTCTTTACAATCTTGGCAATTTTGTATGATTTTTGTTTTTCGAATACATGCAAATGGGTTTCTTCTTTTTGACGTCCGCCTTCGTTTCGTCCTATAGATAGCAGAATTTCTATCAAGAGTAAACTATTGTCTTCTTAATTGTCTGAGTTTGCAACTTATTTGGATGTCAGGATTTTTGGTGTACTTTTTATTTTTAAAAAATCATTATTTTGATTCCGATTCCTGAAATTAAAAGATTTCTGCAGTTTTATCGAGATTCTTGTTAGGGTTTATTAATGCACTCAGTGATAGCTTTAACTGTTGTAGTGTTGTGCAGTGTGCTAATTCCTCATATTGCCATAATTATCGTTTGTCTTATGTACTCATTGTATCACCTTCATTTTTTTTGTAACTTTCGAAATTGTAAAAATATCGATATTTTTGTAAACAATATTATTGTATCTCCTGTCATGGCAATGTACACAAGTCTAGTTTCCTTTCCTCTTCACAAGTTTTGTAATGTGTAATATTTGTGAACTAGAAAGAACAGTCTGCATCCATTTGATCATTTGAGTGGATCACGACCTGAAAACAGATACAAGGAGAACGGTTATTCTAACATTGTACTTGATTTCGGCGTGCATGGGTGTGTGTGTGTGTACGGTACTTTAGGAGAAAATAATTCCCCCCAAAAACAGACTTTTAAAAAATTGAGCATAGTTTTTCGCCCTCTTTTGGTTCTGCCAAAGCCAAATGGATTCATTGCAGTTCAAGTAAATCTGCCATTTTGCAAAGTAACTGTGAGAAATACAATAAGTCATAATTAAAAAGTAGTTAAATTGATTTGAAACTTTTTTTGTAATCATTAAATGTCCACCTTTAATTCATTGGTTATTTTTATGGTGTCATTTCTTTTCTTCAAAATCCATGCCCACGTATCAATGAAGATTTTCGCGTTGCCTGTCATTGGGATTTCTAAATCCGTCAGTTTCCTGTAGGTCGGTCTTCTTTCTTTAGAATTGCGCGAGTTTCTCTTGTGCTGAGATGCGAGCTTTCAATGCCGTTAGCTTTGGGTACTTCTCCAGGCCCTTGCCGACAAATTTACATCCTTCCACCGTCTCTATCGAGGTGTGAAAATTCAGGTCCGCCGTAGAAATTTGGGGGGAAACAGACAAGTTACAACAAATACATGCACCATTTCGTCTGTTAGTTTTCATTCAAATTCTCGAAACCGTTGAATAATGTGTTGGCTGGTGTTACTTTAAACCTTTCAGATTGTTTGTATTGGACAAAATAATGAAATCATTCTTCACGCTTACACTACGAAATTGAAGTTGTCAGTAGCCTAATTAGAAAAACGAAGATGTAAAACGTGCATGAAAACGTGATATGATAACGTCCTCTTTCAATAATTTATAAGTGTGACACGCCGTTAATATTCACTGTAAACATGATATCTTACAGTTTGCGCCTTCGCGTACATGTACTTTATTTTTGTACATTTTGTATTTGCTGTTCTTGGTGCCGAGCTTTATTCTCCAATAACCAAACAAACGCGAACAAACAAAACATTTTATCATGCTAATCAGTGAATGCCAGTAGGAAACTTTGGGGATTTTTTTTTTTATTTTAAGATTCCTCAATCTTGGGGACAATGTCAATCCCTGTCTGACGCTTATAAAGCGCAAACAACCAAAACCTAGGGCCTATTATTATGCTTATCAGTGAATACCAGTTGGAAACTTTGGGGGATTTTTTGGTTCGTTTTTTTTACAGATCCCTCAATCTTGTGGGCAAACGTCAGTCCCTGTCTAAATAAAATGCATTGCACTTTGTTACTCCCCGGATTTTGTTTTTCGGAAAAGCAAGGGACGAATGTATAAAATGGACGCTAGGCGTAAACAATAATAGCTGTCTCTTAAACTTGGTGTGAGAACGGTGTCATTCTTCAACGTAGGATCAACAACCATTTCAAATTGTGGTTCACATAAAAAAAGAGGAGTGAATTTCTCCTTTTTGGGGGGTGAAATTTTGTGGATTGGTTTGGCATCATTTTTGTTCTTGTTAATTTTTGATCGATTTGAGTATCCCTCGAACTTTTTGTTGAGTTGTTGTTGAGTGTATGTTTGTAATTTCTGAAACCATGAGGACTATATGACCTTTTACGTCAATTATGTCATGAGTCAGGTCGGGGTTTGTCTCCTAATTCCTTCACATGAAATGACTGAAAAATATTCTTTTCCCCTGGATATGATGTCAGTCCATCGCAAATAACTCCTCAGCTAATCCCCTACCACCATAGGCGCAACTATAGGGGTGAACTGCTAGGGGGAAAGTGGGGGAACCAATTTTCGACGGGGGGGCCACTAAAGGCAATTGATATACTGTTGTTGTGCAATTCAGAATTTTAAATTGCACGATAGAACAGTTAAAGCTATCACTGAGTGCAATACTAAACTCAAATAATTGAGAAAAAATGCCTGAAAATAACCAGACTAATAATAAGTTGAGCATCATTTTTGTCGCCCTCTATTGGTTCTGACAAAACCAAATGGTTTCATTGCAGTTCAAGTAAATCTGCCATTTTGCAAAGTAATTGTGAGAAATACAATCAGTCATAATTACATAGTAGTTAAATTGTTCTGTAACATTTTTTGTGATCATTAAATGTCCAATTTTAATTCACTGGTATTTTTATGGTGTATTTTCTTTTCTTCAAAATCCATGCCCATGTATCAATAAGGATTTTCGCGTTGCTTGTCATTGGGATTTCTAATTCCGTCAGCATCCTGTAGGTCGGTCTTCTTTCTTTAGTATTGCGCGAGTTTCTCTTGTGCTGAGAAACGACCTTTCAGTGCCGTTAGCTTTGGGTACTTCTCCAGGCCCTTGTCGACATATTTACATCCTTCCACCGTCTCTGTCGAGGTGTGAAAATTCAGGTCCGCCAGAGAAATCTGGGGGGAAAACAGACAACATTTTTACAACAAATACATGCACTGTTTCGTCTGTTAGTTTTCATTCAAATTCTTGAAACCGTTGAATCCTGTGTTGGCTGGTGTTACTTTAAACCTTTCAGATTTTTAGTAATGGACAAAATAATGAAATCATTCTTCACGCTTACACTACGAAATTAAGGTTGTAAGTAGCCTAATTTGAAAAACGAAGATGTGAAACGCGTTAATAATTTCCTCTTTCAATAATTTCAATATATTCAATATTTTTTAATATTTCACTGTAAACATAATGTCTTACACTTTGCGCCTTCGCGTACATGTACTTTATTTTTGTACATTTTCCATTTGCTGTTCTTGATGCCGACCTTTATTCACCAATTACCAAATAAACGCAAACAACCAAAACCTATTATCATGCTTATCAGTGAATGCCAGTAGGAAACTTGGGGTGTTTTGGTTGTTTTGATTTCTCAATCTTGGGGGCAAATATCAGTCCCTGTCTAAATATAATGCATTGCACTTTGTTACTCCCAGACTTTGTTTTTCGGAAAAGCAAGGGACGAATGTATAAAATGGACGCTAGGCGTAAACAATAATAGCTGTCTCTTAAACAATGGTGTGAGAACGGTGTCATTCTTCAACGTAGGATCAACAACCATTTCAAATTGTGGTTCACTTTAAAAAAAAAAAAAAAAAAAAGGAGTGAATTTCTCCTTTTTGGGGGGTGAAATTTTGTGTATTGGATTGGCATCATTTTTGTTCTTGTTAATTTTTGATCGATTTGAGTATCCCTCGAACTTTTTGTTGAGTTGTTGTTGAGTGTATGTTTGTAATTTCTGAAACCGTGAGGACTATATGACCTTTTACGTCAATTATGTCATGAGTCAGGTCGGGGTTTGTCTCCTAATTCCTTCACATGAAATGACTGAAAAATATTCTTTTCCCCTGGATATGATGTCAGTCCATCGCAAATAACTCCTCAGCTAATCCCTTACCACCATAGGCGCAACTATAGGGGTGAACTGCTAGGGGGAAAGTGGGGGAACCAATTTTCGACGGGGGGAGCACTAAAGGCAATTGATATACTGTTGTTGTGCAATTCAGAATTTTAAATTGGGGGCAGCCGGGGGCACAGACCTCCACTGGGGGCGGCGGGCAACACCCCCCCCCCCCCCCCCCCCGTAGTTACGCCACTGCCTACCACTCTTGGAGAGGGGAAAAGTGAAGGTGAAGTGGCTAACCCAAAGAACACAACATAGGGACAACATCAGAATTGGAACATCTGACCCTCTGATCTTGAGTCAAAAATCCTAAACTATTCTTTAGGCCACTATCCACCACCAGTCCGCCTTTGTTTTGTCCTTTAGAAAGCAGAATGTCTTTCAGGAGCAAACTATTTTCTTCATTATGTCCGAGTTTGTAACTTATTTGGTTGTTTTTAAGGATTTTTTGTGTGCTTTTTATTGTTAAAAATATAGTTTAATCCCATTTCCTCAAAGTAAAAGATCTCTGCACTTTTATCGAGATTTGTGTTAAAGGGTTTAGTATTGCACTCAGTGATAGCTTTAACTGTTCTATCGTGCAGTGCTAATTCCTCATATTGGCATAATTACTGCTTGTCTGTTGTCATCAGTGTGTCACCTTAATATATTTATAACTTTTGAAATTGTAAAAATATCGATAGTTTGCATATTGTATCTCCATTCATGGCAATGTACACTAGTCTATCCTTTCCTCTTCACAAGCTTTGTAATTTGTATTGTTTGTAAGTTCTTTAAATAATTTTGAACCAAATGAGTGGGGAAAAAACAAAGTGAACTAGAAAGATCAATCTACAGCCATATATCATCTGACTGTATCATGACCTTAAAACAGTTAAAATAATAGAAGTTATTCTTTAAAAAATGTACTTTATTTGGGCGTGGGTGTGTACATGGTACTTAAAGAGAAAAAAATGCCTGAAAATAACCAGACTAATAATAAGTTGAGCATCATTTTTGTCGCCCTCTATTGGTTCTGACAAAACCAAATGGTTTCATTGCAGTTCAAGTAAATCTGCCATTTTGCAAAGTAATTGTGAGAAATACAATCAGTCATAATTACATAGTAGTTAAATTGTTCTGTAACATTTTTGGTGATCATATAAATGTCCACCTTTAATTCACTGGGGTTTTTGATGGTGTCTTTTCTTTTCTTCAAAATCCATGTCCACGTATCATTGAAGATTTTCGCGTTGCTTGTCATTGGGATTTCTAATTCCGTCAGTATCCTGTAGGTCGGTCTTCTTTCTTTAGTATTGCGCGAGTTTCTCTTGTGCTGAGATACGACCTTTCAGTGCCGTCAGCTTTGGGTACTTCTCCAGGCCCTTGTCGACAAATTTACATCCTTCCACCATCTCCGTCGAGGTGTGAAAATTCAGGTCCGCCAGAGAAATCTGGAGGGAAACTGTCAACATTACAACAAATACATGTATACAGCGTGTCTCCAAAAAAATGTCCCTCCCATAGACCACAGAATAATTACCAAAATCACACTTAATTTTGTAGTTCCTGTGAAAATTTCAAAGGTCTCGCTTCATTGGTTTTGAATACACAGGCTTTTGTGTAACAGCAGTGCTTTCCGGCCCATTCAAAGTTTGATAAAAGGAAATGCACACTACAGACATACCATACCTTATTCCATGCTTCACTTTTATTTCAACAACTGTGTTCTTGTTTTGTTATTAAGTAACTAAAGTTTAGTTCATTTACTTTTTTAAATGAAAACTAATCAAAGTTCAGTTCCACTGGTCGTGTTTGCTTTCACAGGGTGTGTTCCACTTATGGTTTGTTCTTCAATGTTCATCCTTCCACCTGCAAACTTGGAATGGGCTGAAAAGCACTGCTGTTACATAATAGACTGTGTATTCAAAACCAATGAAGCGAGACCAATGAAATTTTCACAGAAGTTACAAAATTAAATGGGCTTTCTCAATCTGAACACTAAATTGAGAATATTACTTGATTTTGGAATTAATTTAGCGGTCTATCAGAGGGACATTTTTTTGGGACACGCTGTATGTGCACCATTTCGTCTGTTGGTTTTCATTCAAATTCTCGAAACCGTTGAATAATGTGTTGGCTGGTGTTACTTTAAACCTTTCAGATTTTTAGTGATGGACAAAGTAATGAAATCATTCTTCATGCTTACACTACGAAATCGAGGTTGTTAAAGTAGCCTAATTAGAAAACGAACATGTAAATTGTGTTATAATAACGTCCTCTTTCAATAATTAAAAAATGCATGACACGCCGTTAATATTCACTGTTAACATGATATCTTACAGTCTGCGCCTTCGCGTGCATGTACTTTATTTTTGTACATTTTGTATTTGCTGTTCTTGGTGCCGAGCTTTATTCTCCAATAACCAAACAAACGCGAACAAACAAAACCTATTATCATGCTAATCAGTGAATGCCAGTAGGAAACTTTGGGGGATTTTTTTTTTTTTTAAAGATTCCTCAATCTTGGGAGCAATGTCAATCCCTGTCTGACGCTTATAAAACGCAAACAACCAAAACCTAGGGCCTATTGTTATGCTTATCAGTGAATACCAGTTGGAAACTTTGGGGGATTTTTTGGTTCGTTTTTTTTTTACAGATCCCTCAATCTTGTGGGCAAACGCCAGCCCTGTCTAAATATAATGCATTGCACTTTGTTACTCCCCGGATTTTGTTTTTCGGAAAACGAGGGACGCTAGGCGTAAACATTATACAAATGTAGCTGTCTCTTGAACTTGGTGTGAGAACGGTGTCATTCTTCAACTTGGGATGAACAACCATTTCAAATTGTGGTTCACTTAAAAAAAAAAGGAGTAAATTTCTCCTTTTTGGGGGTGTAATTTTGTGGATTGGTTTGGCATCATTTTTGTTCTTGTTAACTTTTGATCGATTTGAGTATCCCTCGAACTTTTTGTTGAGTTGTTGTTGAGTGTATGTTTGTAATTTCTGAAACCGTGAGGACTATATGACCTTTTACGTCAATTATGTCATGAGTCAGGTCGGGGTTTGTCTCCGAATTCCTTCACATGAAAATCTGAAAGATATTCTTTTCCCCTGGATATGATGTCAGTCCATCGCAAATAACTCCTCAGCTAATCCCCTACCACCATAGGCGTAACTATAGGGGTGAACTGCTAGGGGGAAAGTGGGGGCACCAATTTTCGAAGGGGGGGAGCACTAAAGGCAATTGATATACTAGTTGTTGTGCAATTCAGAATTTTAAATTGGGAGCAGCCGGGGGCACAGACCTCCACTGGGGGCGGCGGGCAACACCACGCCCCCCCCCCCCCCCCCCGTAGTTACGCCACTGCCTACCACTCTTGGAGAGGGGAAAAGTGAAGGTGAAGTGGCTAACCCAGAGCACACAACATAGGGACAACAGCAGAATTGGAACATCTGACCCTCTGATCTTTAGTCAAAAATCCTAAACTATACTTTAGGCCACTATCCACCACCAGCCACATTATAGGCCTACTCAAAATTACCGGATAATTGGAGGGCATGCAAATAGCCATTTGGTCGGCGTGGGCAATGTTGGGCCTATTTACAGGTCTGCACCCTTTGTCTCCATTAACTCTCCCTCTGTTACGTTGAGGGGGTACTGGCGTACGAAGTCTTTTCTATGAAGTAGTGGCTTTGCCAAATATCGGACAATATAATCACTCGAGTGATTCCCATAATTATAACGGGGTCACAGGTGAGGTACACTGATTCCATATCTGGTAAACCGACCTTTGAATGGCTCTGAATTTGGAAACAGCTGGATTACTGAAATAGTAGAGCTCAAACGACAGGTACTTATCAAAACTTGTAGAGTAGAGTAAATTTTGATTTAATTTTAGCGCGTGAACATGAGTTCTTACAAGCTGTATTACTTTGACGGCCGGGGGCGGGGCGAGACGGCCAGAATGCTGTTTGCGGTAGGCGGCTGTGAATTCGAAGATGTACGAGTAAGCGGGGACAAATGGAAGGAGCTTAAACCAAGTAGGTGCATGAAACGTGATGGGCTAGGGGGCTCGTTGATTACATGGGTTGAGACTACTAGGCGTTTACTTTGGTACTGTACCGCGTGCAAGGCTCGGTGCCATGCTGGGTGGCTTTGGCTGCGTCCCCACTGGGTGCACAGGTGTGCTTTGCTGTGTGTCTGGTTGACTTTCAAACATGATGCCTTGCTGAGTGGGTTTCTGGCCGAGTCCAGTCTGGCTTTCTGGATGCCTGGTTGAGTGTTTGCCTGGGTACCCGGGAATCTGGCTGGATGCCATATACCTGGCTATGTCCTACTGGGTGCACCGGGTGCCTGGCTGAGTGTCTGGGTAGGTGCCAAGCTTGGTGTCACTGTAAGACTGGGTGCCAAGCTGGGTTCATGGCGGATGCCTGACTGCCAGGCTGTTTCGTTCTTGATGCTTGCACGGTTGAGTGACTGGTTGGGAGATTTTGCATGGGTGCCTGCCTGAGCACGTACGTGGTCACCAAGCTGGATGCCAGGTTTGCTACCTACCTCAGCTGGATGTCTGACTGGCATGCATTGCTGTGTTCCAAAGTGGGTGTCTGGCTGGATGCCTCGCTGGGTGCCAGAGTGGGTACCTGGCTGCCAGAGTGGGTACCTGGCTGTGTTGCTGCTTGGGGCACGGTGTGCCTGACTAGCTAGGGCTGGCATGGTGTCTGGCTGGATGCCTTGCTGGGTGTAAGAGGCGCCTGACTGAATCTCTGGCAGTATGCCTTGCTGTGGTCACGGTGATCGGTATTCCTATCTCACTGAACAAGAAAACTGGTTTTGATTATTATTTAATTTTGTTGCAGAGACTCCTCTGGGCCAAATTCCCGTCCTAGAGGTCGACGGCAAACAGCTACCACAAAGTCGAGCAATCGAAGGTTATCTTGCAAGAGAATTCGGTAATCTAACATGCACATATTAAGTTTATTGTCGATTTTCATGAACATTTGGGGTTTCTTTCAATAAAAACATGGCGTTTTTGCGTTCATTAAAATATACTAAAATTAAAGAGTGTGACAAAGAGTAGAAAAGCCATTAAATTGACAATGAAGAATAATTTTTAAAATGTCTAAGATTAACTGCTTAGAAAGTGAGGCGCTTTCTGACAGAATAGCCTGGATGCCATCCTTGGCGACTGTCCTGCAATCCAGGGGAAGTCGTCGGTACGATAAGCATGTCCAAAATGTAACTTGTTTTCTGTAGGTCTGTACGGTTCCAATAGTCTGGAAGCCGCGAGGATCGATGCAGTGTATGACACTGTAGGTGAACTGATGGCGAGACCCATACAGTTGACATTTTACGAAAAGGATGAAGAGAAAAAGGTAAACAACGACTTCAAAATATACTTTAATCATAAAAGGGTCCCATTGTGTCCAATTATTTTCGCCTTCAATCTGTGAGGGTTCTAATGCAATTTCTCATATTTATGGAGCAAAAACAGTAATATCCAATCTGAAGCACAGGCTTATTGTTTTGTAGGTCCCGCTTAGTCCAATTCTTTTCACCTTCACTTTTCGTACTGTGAGTTCTCTTTTGGTATTTTTCTCTTTTGGTATTTTTCTTCCAATGCAATTTCACATATTCATGGAGTAAAAAGGATATGTCACCTCTTAAAGCAGAATTTTAGTTTGTTTTCGTTTTATTAGAATGTCTCTCGCAACATAATTGATGCACCTCTACACGCAATGTGGGTTGGTCAGTTGTTGGCTTAAACTGTAAGCTTGACATGGAATTTGCCCACTGGAATTTGCGTCATTCAGAAGCTCAAGTTCTACGTACAATGTCAGTTGTCTCTCAAAAGACTTTCAGAATCTCTGTGTGATGTTCACTTGCAAAAAGCTGAACTGGCGAAGTACTACGTCGAAGAAGCGCCTCGGCGAATGGGAGGCCTCACCAGACTGTTTGAAATGTATGGAGGCGGCGAGGAAGGATTCTTTGTTGGAAACAAGGTCAGATAAAAAAAAAATTAACAGATCAAACTAGGAAATGAGAGATGATCAATATTGAGATAACCAGATCTATGCTCAGTTACCGTTCGAACATCCGACCAACAAAACGATCGATCGACAAACTTCTGACTGACTGACTGGCCGATGACCGACTAACCGATCGGCCAACCAATCGCCCAACTGAATGACATACAATCAAACGTACAGACTGACTGACCGACAGGCGGACCAGTCAACCGATCGACCTACCTGCCAACCCATCTAACGACTGAGTAATGTCCAATCTGAAGCACAAGCTTATTGTTTGTCGGTCCCGTTTTGTCCAATTCTTTTCACCTTCACTCTTCGTATTGTAGGTGCTCTTTTGGTACTTTGCTGCCAATGCAATTTCATGTATTCATGGAGCAAAAAGGAGATGTCACCTCTTAAAGCAGAAGTTTAGTTTGTTTTCGTATTAAAAAAGGTTCGTTTATTGACTTCTGTATATAGTTACTTGAACGTTATTTGCAATATGGAAAATAAATGTTAAGATGAATTGAATTGAATTGAATTGAATTGAATTGAATTGAATTGAATTGAATTGAACTGAACTGATCGGCTATGCCGACAGACTTTCCACCGACAAAACGACCGATCGACCGATCAACCGATCGATTGACCGACAAAGCGACTGCCCAAATAAAGCGATCAACCGATTGCCCAACCGACAGACCGACCGATCTTAAACTATGGCCAACTACTGGTTTTCCCTTCGCCCTCCACAGATGTCCCTCGCTGACATTTTCTTCTTCGCCATGACGGAATACTTCGACGAAAATGAGCTGAAGAAATATCCGAAGATGGAGGCGTTGCACAACCGCGTGGCAACCAATTCGCGAATAGCCACCCACATGAAGAACCGTCCCACGCCCACATTCTGAAACGCTGCTGCTTCCAGAACGCTGCGAATTTGAGTTGATACGATCCAATGGAAGTTTCACATTTGAAACAGATGCGTTGTCGACAAATAGAAAAGCATTAAAAGCCACTATTTTTTCGCTTCCATTCAAATTCAATTTAACCCAAGTTGACTTTGTTATCCCTTATACAGGAAATTCCGTTCGGCCTTTTACATTGAACAAGTTAATGAATACTTAAAAAAATTACGAATCAATGCATATTACACATAAAAACACTATACTTTACTAAAAAAAGAAAGATATAAAAATGTGTTATCCCAAAATACTCCACAAAACCTTAAAAGTCTATTTAAAATTGCATGGAGAGTCAGATGATGTGGTCTATTTTAAGGCTATGAGCTGAAATAAATATGCGTTCGCAGTGAGAATTTGTTGAGAAATTTAAAGAGAACAGGAAAATCTGCAACTATTTTGATGGGTTTTTGGGGGTTTTTTTTGGTAACCAAAAACTGAAAGAAAGAAATAAAACAGTCTTATTAATTGTTTAAACAAATATCTCTTCAGTGTACAATCCCTGAATGTATTATGAAAGATTAATGGGAATTATTTTGAAAAACCGCACTGAAGTACGTCCCGACGTCTGTAATGAATGTCGTCCATCACTGCCAAGTTCGCTCGAAAGCTCTTTGGTCACAATAATTGCTAACAAACGGCAAGATGAAAGCTTATATCGCGGAGACATGCAAGACATAACGCAGACCGATGATAGACCAACTGTACACGAAGGGATCACATGCAGAAGAATGTTATTTATACATTGGTCTGTCGTGTGCAGAGAGGGTCGCAGAGCAGGTGTAGCAAAAAAGTCAGTCTTGAAAGAAGGCTAAACTGTACTGACGATGACTTAACAGATTTTATAATGAAAGCAATAAATCCTTTATCTGAGCTATATATGGCATGCCCGAACCCCAGTAAACGTAACACGTGCGTAACAACGCCTGATTGCACTTCTGTGCCAGATTATTTATTTTCAATTGAATGTAATTTAAGGCGTTTCTCCACTCGTCTGTTTGACGTGAAATGTGTCACATGAATGTACTCCTATGAAATACTTGCATAATGTTACATAGGCCTGTCGTTTTCATTTGTGACCACAGCTGTCCAAATTAGACAATTGAGGGCGGTAGATACAACTCAACAAAATGGCAGCCTCCACTAGTTAAATTTGTCAGTGAGTTCTCTTTGAGTTTTTCGTTCAAAATTATTTTTGTTGCTACTATTATTTATAGATTCAGGAACATATGAGGACACACTTGACTTTGTAAAAAACTAACACATTTTTATTTGATTCATATCGCAAACTGATGCCTAGTCCCATAAATGTGACCGAAATACTGGACTACCTCCCATAATGTGACTGAAATACTGGACTAGGTCTAGTTCTCAGTAATTTTGAGTTGAATCCGGACGACTTTCGGCAGCCATTGTTCACGAAAGCGTCGCGCTGCATACCGTCATGGGTTGTGATAATCGCGCCCTCACTAGCTTGCATCAAATTTGACAATGTGCACTGGTGGTACGGCTGTTCCCTAGCCTGTCATTCAGTTTTTGTCAAAAGTGTGCCCGCATACATGCACAGTATAACTACGCTCAATACAGCCAGTATAAGTACTCTTAGGCACTAAACGGTAAATATAATCTCTCCAGTGATTCCTAACGGGGACAAAGGTGAGGTACATTCCATTCCGACCTTTGAATGGTTCTGAATTTGGAGACAGCTGGATCACTAACATAGTAGAACCAAACCGACGAGTACTTACTGTAAGTCTGTAACCTAGTAGATCGTGATTTAATTTCAGCGCGTGAACATGCCTTCTTACAAGCTGTATTACTTTGACGGCCGAGGTTGGGGCGAGACGTCCAGATTGCTGTTTGCAGTAAGGGGCTGTGAATTCGAAGATGTACAACTCGAATACGGCGGGGATCAGACCAAATGGAAGGAGCTTAAACCAAGTAGGTGCATGAAACGTGAAGGGCTAGGGGGTTGGTTGATTACGTGGGTTGAGACTATTTGGCGTTTACTTTGTTTAATACTGGACCGTGTGCAAGGCTCGGTGCCGTGCTGGGTGGCTTAAGCTGCGTCCCCACTGTGGGTGCACAGGTAGAGGTTGCTGGGTGTCTGGTTGACTTTCAAGCTGGTTGACTAACTGGGTGCATATAGCTGGATTTCTGGATCATTGTCTGCCTGGGTACCTGCCTGGGTACCTATACCTGGGTATCTGGCTGGATATTGTTCTTGGCTGTGTCCCTGCTGGGTGTACCGGGTGCCTGACTGGGTGTCTGAGTACGGTGCCAAGCTCGGTGTCAGATACTGAGTGCCAAGATGGGTTACTGGTGGATGCCTGACTTGGCTGACTGCCAGGCTGTGTTTTTTTATGCTTGCATTATGGTGGCCAACATAGGCAATTTTGGACCGATTTACTGGCCTGCACCTTGCAGCAGTCAATAAACTGCCATATACCCCAATCATAAATGCTCCCACTTCAGAAATTTGGGAGAAATACTCACAACTCTCCAAGGTGTTCGAGAGACACATCAAAGCTTATTTCATCATTTTTAATTTTCTTTTCAATTTTTGGTGGGTCAACTGATGACTTTTAGGAGAAATTTCCATCCCAAGATGATCACCCCTTAAATTAGTCCTACAACCAATCGCCATTTTGAAAAACGATGCCTACATGTACACTCCATCGCAAAATAGAGCGCTTTTGGAGCCCCAATTTCATCCAAATTGCACAGAACTACATGCTCACAGTCCCGTACACGGCTTCCACCCTCAAGTTCATGGCCCACAATATGCTCAAACACTGAACATTTTGAGGGCATGCAAATCGTGATTTCAGTGGCCGGCGTTGGCAATTTCGGACCGATTTACTGGCTTGCACCCCTAGGGCGCCTGACTGAGTCTCTGGCGTTGGTGACAGAAGAGGCTTCTATGAGTCATATTTGACTAAACAAGAGAACTGGTATTTTTGATTATTATGTTGTTTTGTTGCAGAGACTCCTCTTGGCCAAATTCCCGTCCTAGACGTCGATGGCAAACAGCTACCACAAAGTCGAGCAATCGAGGGTTATCTTGCAAGAGAATTCGGTAATCTAACTTGCTCATTAAATGTTATTGTCGACTTCATCATTTTTTTCGAATAAAAGCATGGCGTTTTGCGTTCATCAGACATGATTATCGTTGGTACGATTATCATGGGCGTCACGAAGGGGGATGGAGCAAGGAAAAAAAGAAGGGAAAAAAGAAAAGAAAGGTGCGAAGCCATATTGCTGTTAATTTGATGGGGGGCAAAGCACATTTTCTTAATTTTTTTCAACATATTCTCAATTTATAATTTTCCGAGCGTGGGCAGGGGAACATTCTGCCCTAACCCCCCGTAGGGCAGAATGTTCCCCTGCCCACGCTCGGAAAATTGTAAATTGAGAATATGTTGAAAAAAGTTAAGAAAATGTGCTTTGCCCCCCTCCCCCATCCCCACCCCTCTGGATAAAATCCTGACAACGCCCATGACGATTATCATGTCTAAAAATGTCATTTGTTTTCTGTATAGGTCTGTACGGTTCCAACAGTTTGGAAGCCGCGCGGATCGATGCTGTTTATGACACTGTACGTGAACTGATAGCGAGACCCACAAAGCTGATATTTTACGAAAATGATGAGGAGAAAAAGGTAAACATTACTAACGATTTCAAAACATATTTGAAATATAAAAGGGTCCCGTTGTGTCCAATTACTTTCGCCTTCAATCGCTGTCTTGTCACTAAAAGGGTTACCCAGGGTGGCCCTGTCGATGTTCCCAATGCAGTTTCTCATATTCAAGGAGAAAATTAATAATGTCATATGTCTTATGCACAAGTTTATTTATATAGGTCCCGTTGTGTCCAATTCTTTTCACCTTTAGTCTTCGTAGTGTCACTCCAAGAGGGCTCTTTCGGTATTTTTCTGCCGATGCAATTTCTCATATTCATGGAAAAAGATGTGATGTCATCTCTTAAGCAGCGGTTTAGTTTGTTTTCGTATTAAAGAATGTATATCGCAACATAATTGATGCACCACTGCGCGTACATCAGTCGGTCAGTAATAAGCTTAAATTGTAAGCTTGACTTGAAATATGTCAAAATATGGATGTTACAAGATAGATCCAAATTCTTCATGTTCACTGAAATCACCTTATAGTAAAGCCTGTTAGCGATGTTGTTTCACACTGTACATGTAGTTACAGTCGAGTCTCGTTAATACAAACTCGTTTGGACCTAGCCAAATTGTTTGTTGTATCAGAATTTTGTATTAAGAGGAACATATTAAGTCATTCATTGTGCACATCAATGCACAGTCGGGACTAAGGCTTTTTTGTATTAACAGAGTTTGCACTAACGAGATTCAACTGTATATAGTTTTACAATGTATTTATAATATTAACAATTATGCATTAATCAAATAATGCTTTTATCCCGTTGTATTGAACTGTATTACATGTATATATGTAATGTATTATATTTGTATATACAATGTATACATGTTTGTAGTAATTTTTTATTGTATGCAGGGCCCTATCGGAAACAAGTTTTAAACTGTTTGGGCATACCCTGGTCAAAAAAATGTAATAAATAAATAAATTAAATAAATAAATATATATAATTTGCGTCATTCAGAAGCTCAAGTTCTTCGTTCAATGTCAGTTTTCTCTCTCAAGAGATTTTCAGAATCTCTGTGCGATGTTCACTTTCAGAAAGCTGAACTGGCAAAGTACTACGCCGAAGAAGCGCCTCGGCGAATGGGAGGCCTCACCAGACTGTTTGAAATGTATGGAGGCGGCGAGGAAGGATTCTTTGTTGGAAACAAGGTCGGATACAAATAAAGAGATCAAACCGGGAAATGAGAGATGATCAATACTGACATTATCCGATCTAACCTAAGTGATCGTCCGAACATCCGACCAACAAAACGATCGATCGACAAACTTCTGACCGACTGACTGGCCGATGACCGACTTACCATCAACGACCAACTGCCCAACCGACTGACCTACCACCAAACGAATAGACTGACTGACTGAGTGACAAAAGGACCGCTCGACCAACCTACCGACCCATCTAATGACTAACTGACTACTCCGACAGACTTTCCCCCAACAAAACGACCGACCGACCGATCGACCGACCAACAATTACTTACCAACCGACGGATCTTAAACTCTGGCCAACTACAGTTTTTCTCTTCGCCCTCCACAGATGTCCCTCGCTGACATTTTCTTCTTCGCCATGATGGAATACTTCGACGAAAACGAGCTGAAGAAATATCCGAAGATGGAGGCGTTGCACAACCGCGTGGCAACCAATTCGCGAATTGCCACCCACATGAAGAACCGTCCTGCGTACACATTCTGAAACGCTGCTGCTTCCAGAACGCTGCGAACTCGAGTTCAACAATAATGGAAATGTCTCATTTAAAAAGGGATACGTTATCAACAAATAGAAAAGCATTAAAAGCCATTATATTTTACACTTTCATTCAAATTCAATTCAACTCAATTTGACCTTATTGTGCCTTATACGAGAAATTCCGTTCGGCCTTTTTACATTGAACATGTTAATAAATACTTTATAGATTACTGAATGAATATTACGCATAAAAACACAATACTTCACATATAAAAAGAAAGATATAGAAATATGTTATCCAAAAATACTGCATGTACAGAACCTAAAAAGTTCATTTACAATTGCACGGAGAGTCAGATAATGTGGTCTATTTAGTTTAAGACTGAGCTGAAATAAATTTAATATGAATTTGCTTTTACAGTGAGACTTTGTTTAGAAGTGAAAACAAAATAGGAAAATATACAACGTTTTGGATTTACTGATTAAATTTGTCTGGTTTTGAATTTTTTTGTTTATAAAAATGGAAGCAAAAAAATAAAACACGTTATTGTTTAACCTAATATCGCTTCAGTGTACAATACGTGGATGTAAATTATAAAAGACCAAATGGGATTTTTTTTTGAAAAGTTGTTCATGACGTTACGACGCTTGCAGTACTGAATGTCGTATATCACTGCCAAGTTCACTAGAAAACTCTTTTGGCAAAATGTCGATCAAAAAACGGCAACAAGAAAGTTTTTCGCGAAGACACGCAAGACATAAGAAACGCACATGAAGTGGGATGACATGCAGAAAAATGATTATTTATACACTTAAATTGACCTGACGTGTGCAGAGAGGGGCGCAGAGCAGGTGTAGATCAAAGTCAGTCTGGAAAGTAGACTAACATGTCCCGACGATGATTTGGCAGATTTTATAATGAAAGCAATTGACATATCAGCCTTGACCCGAGCTAAATATGGCATGCGCGAACCCCTAAACCCGTGCGTAACAACGCCTGATTGCACTTCTATGCGAGATTGTTTGTTCTCATTTTTTTTTTTGTAAGGTAAAAGGCGTTTCTGTCCACTCGTCTGTTTGACTGCCGACTGAACAGGACACGAACGAGCTTTGCTCCGGTAGAATCCAAGATGCCTTCCTTCAAAGTTGTGTACTTCGACGCCCGCGGAAGGGCCGAGCCGACCCGTATGATGCTAGCTCACGTCGGCCAGGCGTTCGAGGATGTCCGATACAAGGGCGAAGAGTGGGCTAAGGTAAAAGCCGGTAAGTTTTAGGTGCAGTCAGCCATCATATCCGTTATGAGTCAGCGGACCACAGAGCAGATTTAGGACTCTCACAATTGAAGGTATAGGACCTGGATTTTAAAAGTCGTGCAGCAAACCACCACAAGTGCCTGCTAACCCCCTCTTGGCAGCTACCCTCCCCTTTATAATCCCCCTCCTCTTAATCTATCCATGCAATGGTCTGGTACAATATTACAGTGAAGAGTGTTGAAGCTTGAAACAGTAACAGATACAAGCAGGTACACAGCATTTTGAACCCTATCGATTTTACCCACAACCACAGCTGCCGTTGCAGGAAAAAAAATGTAACACCTCCACTAGGTCGTCAAAATAAAATTTGGGTCGTTTCATGTATGCATAGGCCTACGCACACGCACCCATTGGGAAAGCCGATGCAAAAATGTGAACACCTGATTTAGTTGTGCCACGGAGGACTCAGGCCTAGATCATTCCTTCAAGGTTGTGCTATTCATAACCGGCTGTGCCTATTGCGACATGAGACCAAGTCAGGGTGTTGACGATCCCGGCCCGCCTACTCTACTAAACGTACTCTGCACGTTTTCTGGTCCCTGCAATGTAAATACGCCCTTTGACCCTATAGCTAGACTGTATACAGTTCTAAAAAAAATATATTATCATGGCCACAAACAGCATGTTGTGGCAACCTTGAAGAACGAATCGACTGCGGCTGGAATTTAGCCTAGCTTACATTTTGGCGGGAAACCAGCGCATTATTGTCCATGATCCTTGAACTTCCTAAGAGCGTCACAATAGTTTCCATGGGAACTTGGAATTTGCATCGCGTCGAGTTTATGGGTTATTCATTATTTTTTTCCAGGAGGCAAGGCCAGATATATCACGTAGGCCAATGTCATTATTGAATTACTTATTAACTCATAGTTGTTTTCAATATGCACTGAAAATTTTATGTTTATGTGTCCCTCTATTTTAAGCCCTCATTAAAAAATAAATGTCATGAATCAATAGGATATGCAAACAGAGGATATGTAAAAAAATAAATAATAATAATAATTAAAAAAATAAAAAATAAAAAAATAAAAAAATAAAAAAAATAATGATAGTAATTCATTGCCAAAATGTTGCAAACCGTTTCCAGACCTTCGAAACTCAGATCCTCAAATTAAAAGACGATTATTTCAATATTTGCGCAGCTACAGATCAGGTTCGGTTGAAAAGCTCGCTTTTTAGTTGTACAACTTGAGTATAGTTGTACAACTTTCTTTCTTTTTCCATGTAAAATTCCTCCCAAGTTCTGCAAAACTTAATATGCCATTTTGTATTCTTCCTATCGTAGAGACTCCGTTGCAGCAGCTGCCCTTGATGGAGGTCGATGGCAAGCCTATCCCACAGAGCCGGGCCATGCACGGCTTCGTCGCAAGGCATTTCGGTGAGCAATCCCGAAACATTTTCTTGCGATGTCATCAGCAAGTCATCATGCATGGTTACACCTCTATGTTCCGACACCCCTATGTTCCGACACCCCTATGAATCCTAACCCTATAAATGTTTAGAAGCTTAACATGTTTTACGCATAGCAAGATTGTGTTAAATTGCCGAACACATTTTATTAGTTTCGCCATTGTTCATCCTGAATTAATCATTCGGGATGTCATGTGACTTGACGCATATGCTATCCAGTTTTTCGACATGCGGTGCATGCATTATTGTAACCGAACAGGTTACGTTAGTTCATTAGTTAGGTAATGTAATAATTATTTGTCTCATTTGTGCAGGCTTAAATGGCGCAAACAACGAGGAGACGACGAAAATTGACATCGTGCTGGCCATCACCGAGGACCTCGTAGACCCGCTGGCCAAGATTTTGTTCCAAGAAAAAGATGAGGCCAAGAAGGTATGATGGATTTTTCTCAAAGGGTTTGTTGAAAGAAAAATATGAGAATGGTATTATCATAAAGCAATACATTTATTTTGTTAGAATAAATCTGGAGATGAAAATAATCAAGATTCATAATGTGGTTGAAATTGAAACTTAAAGTGGTGACGTGAAACGGGGATAGATGGGATGGGGTAATAATTGTCACACGTTTTTAAATCTTTTATCACAATCGAAATGTATCCATTTTGTTGTATTTTGTGGGGAGTAGAAGGAGAAAATGGCGGCTTACTTGAAAGACACAGCTCCCAGATTCTTGAAGGGACTGGAAGATATCTTGAAACACAACGGTGGTGGCGATGGCTTCTTCGTTGGCTCAAAGGTAATATTTATTCATATCTTACACTTATGTCCTTAATTTATCCAAAGGGCGCCCTCTGCGAGTAATATGCTTTGTGCAACCACATCTGGATGTAGACTATTTAGAAGCTTTTAATATGAAAGTATTTCCGTGCTTAAAATATCTATTAAAAGCTTGGTATTTTCGTTATGCAGAATTATTATGGACCCATACTGAGCCGGAGTCCCCCACCCACACCAAGTACAGTGCATAAGACCTCGCCAAGCCGAGGCAGGAGATAAAACCAAATTTTAAAAAAATACAAATTTGATTCACTTTTCTTTTCAGATCTCTCGGGCCGACATTGTCTACCTCGTTGCCACGGAAGCGTTCAACAACGACGAGGTCCTGAAACAGTACCCGAAGCTGTACGCCTTGAAGGGACGCGTTGCCCAGGACGCCAACATCGCTGCTTACTTGGCCAAGCGTCCCAAAACACAATTTTAAACAGAGACACAACAAGTCTACTCAACTTCGGGCAGAACAAATGATGATGTGAATATTCCATATACCTCTCTGAATGTGATATAATTTTAATGTAGAATTCAGCATGTGCGTGACGTGCACTGGTTCAAATGTTTGTGCTGTTTGTTTAACTCTTGGGGGCGCTGTACCCTATGAGGTCAAAGAGGTCAATAGAATACTAATACCAAAAAGACGTGATTATGTGAAACACAGCTTAGAACATTAATTTTGATAAATGTAAATTACTTTGTCGTTATGATCCAAACTGATTCCACAAAATATAATGTGTAGGCATGATCGTTTAACTTCATTCGTGTATGTGGTTGTAAACGGTACGATGGTTTAAATAAATGACCGGAAGTGATGCTTGTGGGTCAATTGGATATAGACCTAAATGATGTTGAGTTAAACATTCTTTGCTACTGACATGCACATGCACGGTGGCCGCAAAGAGGCACCCCCACTCACGCCCTCAACTCCCCCCCCCCCCTCACTCAACAGACTACCGCCAAACCCGTTCCAAAAACTCAAAAGGCGGAAAGTGCCAAAGGTAGACTTTTGTTTTGCTTAAAACCCTTTGACGTCGCCCTTCAGATAAAACGTCCTCAGTCCCATCACCCCCCCCCCCCCCCCCCCCCCCCCCCCCCCCGATGCAGTGGAAACCTTGACCCTCGTGGAGTTACAGCAGTACTGCACAGCGATAGGGCAGGAGCAAAATGGCTAAGGAATTATCAGATGAGGACGGGGATAAGCTTCCTCTGGTGCGTTTGAAAACAATGAAATTGTACTGACACTTATATACAGAAGTATATTAAGTTTGATAGAGTTTGTGTCGATTCTTCGAGAAAAAAAACGAGAACCTCGGGGGTAAAGGTAGCCTTGACCAAGGCTATCAGCTTGTTCTCATACGAGCTTGTTCCCGCTACCGCACACCGCGCGCGCCGCGCCGCGACACAATCACTAGTTGTACTATACCGTTAGCCTCAACGACCCTTGCGTGTGCTTTGTGTGCATGTATTGTACGTACGCCCCACACACACTTCCGCAAACAGCCGTACAATAAGTCGAAGCGCTTCCGCCTCGACTTACTGTACGGCTGTTTGCGGAAGTGTGTGTGGGGCGTAAGTACAACATGTACATGCACACAAAGCACACGCAAGGGTCGTTGGGGCTAACGGTATAGTACAACATAGTGTCGCTGCGCGCGCGGTGTGCGGTAGCGGGAACAAGCTCATATGGGAACAAGCTGATAGCCTTGGTCAAGGCTAGGGTAAAGGTTAAATTCTGCTCGCATTTATTCAAATGTTTCCCACGGCGGCGCTGAAAAGGTCTGTCACCCACAAATGTGGACCTTGTTGATATAGTGATATTGCAGTTCGCTGGCGTTGCACTTTGGTCCGTCAGGCTGGTTGGGTTTGTTTTATTAGGAAAACACACTTCTGACACAATACATCAAAGTGTTTATAATAAAATCAACATATATAGGTAACTCGTTGAGATTTGTGCTTACTCATACTTTATGCACAGGGGCGGATCCAGACATTTTTGCAGGGGGGGGTTGGGCCCGTCAGATTTGGTTTTTAATCAGTGCTGAAATGTACACAGCTTATATTTTTTCTCTGGACACGTTGCCTCCGTAAAATCGAAGGGGGGAGGGAGGGGGGCTGGCACCATTCTGCCAAATTAAAATACCACCTCGGGCCTGTGAGTGACCAGAAGAGGGTCCTATTTCTCTCGGCCTTCGGCCTCAGAAAATAGGACCCTCTTCTGGTCACTCACAGTCCCTCGGGGAGCATAGACGTGCCCTAGTGGTCGACCTCATTGCATACTAATAAACGGTCGTGAATATTTTCGCGACTAGTCGTGAATATAATTTTTGCGACTAGCAAAAATATTCACGACCGTCTATGTCCCTCCAAAGCTACCATATCATGTGGTATTTTTAGATTTCAAAATTTTCACTAATGTGAATGTCGTTGACTTCCGGTTCATATCTGCTCATAATGATGTCTGGTGTCCTCGGTGCTATTATTTGTTTATAAAGTAAGAGGCCTTTGAAGGGCGTTCTCCTAGACTTTAACATTCAGAATATATTTGTTGAATTATATACGGTCAACTTTGGATGTGACATACACATTTGAAAAAAAGGTCATCATTTGTCAAATGTGCTTTGAAACATACACTATGCTGGTTTAAATTTGTCTAGATTGCAGGCAGAACGTGTGTGCCCTTCTGCTACATAGCTCGTCACACAAAAACCAAAGCCATGAAATAGCAAAAAAGACAGGAAATTTGCTGAATAATGCATACTCCATTTCATCGTGTAAAAGCGGACTGCCGATTTAAATATTTATCAGAAAAACAACGAGTGTTTGCATAGAGTTAATGTTTAACGGCACGCTTCTTTGGCATGTAGCCGTCGCCGGACATATAAAGCGGAATCGTCCAGCAATATTGTCACTCGGGTTTTTGGCTGCATGCACTCCGTACACTATCGTTCGTGATTTCCTATAGGTTCCATTATGCCATCCTATAAAGTGGTTTACTTCAACAGTCGCGGCAGGGCGGAACCAATCCGTCTGATGCTCGCTCATGTCGGCCAGAAGTTCGAAGACGTCCGCTACACTCACGAGGAATGGCCCCAACATAAAGCAGGTAAGACTAAAATTCGGCGGACATAATAAAATACCATGCACTGAGACTGGAACAACGCTCGCGCAGGTGGTACGCGTTCTTTTGGTGAAGGCGCACGTGCACTTTGGCAACCCTATTGGTCGAAGGGGCATTGAGTGCGCGCGTACCACCTGCGCACGAGCTTGGCTCCATCGCCACGAAATGATATTTAGGGACTCCAAATTCTAATTCGGGCTGCGCAGAAAGTAAGTAACATAACGCTAACAAGTCTTAAGATTTGAGTGAGAACTCCAACTTCCTATCTGCTTTATTGACATTGCACTTTAGGCCCAAGCCCCTCGAAAGCGTCTAGGCCATGGTTCGTGGACCGCAAACTGCCACAATAATTTATTTGGGGCTGTAAATCAATACCGTAATTTGCTATATAAAAAAGAACCTTTGATAGTAAAATCGTGTGTAAACAATATTGACTTCGCAGATAAATGCAATGTACACTGAACTTGAATGGCGTGATCCTTGCCAGGCACTAGTGAATGGGTCAACAGTGTTATTTTGCACAATAGCCCAACCCCTTCCCACCTAGAGCTGAAATTGAAACTTGTTTTAGGTATCTTATATACTACCCTCAAGTCAACCTCTAACGAATAAAGATTATAGATTAAAGAACGACTTCTTTTTAAGCTCTGGCAGGAGCTTCTACATGTCACTTAGTGGTCGGTTGGTCTGTCCCCTGAAAAATTGACCAAAATAATCTTTCCATAACAAAAAAGTTTCCCATGAAATATACCCATTTTTCAAAATAACCAAACAAACTAAATATATACAATTCGTAAAGATGTTTACGAAAAGTTTGTTAATGGAGGCAAAAAAATGTCCAGGAATGTTACAGTCACGTGGTATTTATCACAAATTGCTATAAATCTAGGTATAAAATCTAAGTATGGTGTTCAATATGTGCCATCGGCGTCGCATTTTTGGGCGTCGCATTTATAAGTTCTGGCAGGGATCATTTTGATCGATTTCATGCATGACTTCAGAGCTTATTGTGCACTCACACTTGTTCTTCTGTATGATATTTTCATTGTATTCCATGACTGCCCACCATTTTGTTACCAAGGTTCGTTTGTTCGATAACTTTCCTCCAGTTAAGGTATCTGACTGTTAGGACACAACAAAACCACAACAAAATGCTCCCGTGTCCACACATGGATTGAAAAGTTAAACCGTGTTTATTCTCCTCACTTGAATCAGGGGCTCCGTTGCAGCAGCTGCCCTACCTGGAGGTAGACGGTAAAGCCATGCCACAGAGCCGGGCCGTTCTTGGGTTTCTGGCCAGGGAGTATGGTAAGTAATGTAAGGACCCCACTTCTAGAACCTGCAATATTAAGACCCGTTAAGAAGGCTGCGGATCTTGTTGCTAGGTGCGCAGCCTGCGTGCGCAAATAAGTGTTGTCGGTCTCTTGCTGCCGGTCGCCATGTTGCATGCTGCGACGTGATTGGCATTTCGCCGGCCTTTCGTCACACTTTTGAAATGGCGGTGGATCATCATTTCACCCTCCAATGTATTTGCATATTAATGGGAGACATTACATGTATGTAGATGCTGTTGGGAAGCCAACAGAGATGGGATCCATCTCCTGAACGCTCAGGATTTTTTTTTGTAAATTCGAATTAAATTTGTGAAGAGTTAACTAAAGGTAATAGCTTCGGAATTTTTACTAATTTTGTTTTAGAGTTATTCAATCAGGAAATAATATTGTCTTGTTTGAATTGTAAGTCACTCTTTTGGAATCGAATTATATCTTTGTGATTCATGTGAGCTCCTAGGTACTGGTTAATTCTATCTTCAGTTTAATTAGTGTTTCGTCCAAGTACATGATCCAACTTAAGTGTAAGATGGACCTATGCATACACACAGTGGCAACACTGCACATGCAGAAGTGGGATCCTTACACTTTTTGGTATAAATATAGACTAGTCATTTCAAACCATTGGTAGCACCAATTAAGCATAGACTACGAGATTGTTTTATACAAAACTATAAATTTCTCATCTGGAAGCCTTCTTTTTTCACTGTATGCAGGCCTGAATGGTGCTAACAATGAGGAGACAACCAAAATCGACATCATCATTGCCATTATGGAGGATCTGACAGAACCACTGGCCAAGATATTTTTCCAGGAAAAGGACCCAGCCAAGCAGGTACAAGAATTGTTTTCTTGTTAACTTTAATAGTAAATAAGCAATTACTGTTCATAGCCCACAGCCCCTACATAAGAAAATGGCACTAGCAGGCCTCTTTCGGGAAAGACACTCAAAAGGTTATTTTCTAAATCGAAACAATTTTTTTTTTGAGGTCGTGACCTTTTTGGAATATTTCGTGCATCTTTCATTTTTTTTTAACTCATGAATTTGAAACTCATGAAGTAAAAATACAAACTCAGACTTTTTATGTAACGGATGACAACATAATCAGAGGTCAGACATAACTTTGGCAATGTCGTTGTGTTCCCCTTTTTCCAGAAAGAGCTTTTCGCCGTGTACCAAGCTGAAACTGTTCCGAAGTTCTTGGGACCCCTTGAGCACATGCTGAAGGAAAACAAAGGCGGGGATGGCTACTTCATCGGGTCAAAGGTAAAGACAACAACCCAAATAAACAAAGCCATCAATGTCATCAATGCAATCCAAGCTCCTTTCCCCCAAAAAATCAATTTATTTACATTTTTAATATAAAACCCACCAGTCATCTTTCTACCTATCTCACTGACTCACTAAAAAAATATTGTCTCTTGTGAATTAGACTTGAATAAGTATCGCCTTGGCCCAAGAATTTGAAATTGCTGGCCTCAGAGGTCCAGCCTACAATCCAATTGGTATTAATACCTCAATGACAGACTCACTGACTCAAGACTGTCATTTGGGTATGAGACTTGCATAAGCATCACATTGGTCCAAAATCTGACTCAGATGACTCGCTAGACGCCTTAGACAACATTAGTAGTCAGGGATCTGCTTTACATAGTTTTGCGGTTACGTAGCCTGGTTATGTGTATACATGTTCATGCTTATACATTTCAGATCTCGAGTGCCGACATCTACTTCTTTGCCTGCGCCGAATTTTTCAAGGAGGAACAGGGCATCTTAAAGAAATACCCAAAGCTCACTGCTCTGAAGGAACGCATCGCCAAAGACCAAAAGATCGCTACTTATCTGGCCAAGCGTCCGAAGACTGAATGGTAACCGCCGCTTGAAGAGCAGATGTTGAGGGCCATGTAGAAAGTTTGGTTTTAGAAGTGATCTTATGTCAAAAAGTAGCTTCAAACTAAAAAAAAAATACTATGAGCTTAAAACTCAAATAAACAAGTTTTCGATAACTGTTTTGTCTCGGCAAATCAACATTTATTGTACTTCACGGTTTACAACGGCAGACTGTAAAATATAAAATGTGAAATCATGATTTTTTTTAACCCAATTTTACACTTTTTATGTTTGAATCTATCCATTTATTTTTAAGATATCCTTCTTTTGATTCCTATGTATTAATAAACTATGTTTTTGTTTCGTTTTGAAAGAAAACTTCCAATTCAATTTGACAAATGACACAAAAGCTTGCCAATAAACATATGATTGAGAGACAATACGCCATCTGAACTTGAAACCCGTTTGTGCATTTTACTCTCTTTTTTTAATTATAAAACAAAATGAGTACGTTGGAATGCTGCTGCAATATATACACGAAAACTGTTATTTGTTTGTTTTGAGTTAGATGATAATTGGTTTTGCATAATTGTCTGTTCCTGAAGTAAAGTATTTTATTTCATTTCCTTTTATTGCCCTGCTGACTATCAACGAGTAGTCTAAGGTATGAAGAGTCAAAAATAAATTACAGGTGAACAAAACTTCTTTTGTTTCATTATTATTGCGTGACATTCTTTGGCGTATTATTGATTGGACATCACAAAAAGGTCGATGGATCCATAAGACAAAGGCATGCCTGTCGCCAAGGGGCCCGGTGGGGGCCGGGCCCCCAACGGCAAAAGCAATACATTATGCTTTTTTGTATTTTTTTTTTATGGTAGTGCCCCCCCCCCTAGTTGGTACCGTACTATGGCCCCCTGATGCTCAGGGCTGGCGACGGGCCTGGACAAAGGTATAGCAGACTGAACATGAGTATGGCCTATGTGTACTGAGTTTAGCTGCAAAGAATTGATATTAAATTGGTACGACTTCAGGAAGGAGACGCTGGAGGCGTCTGACCTTCTAAGCTAGGTCACGGTGTTTCTAAAGGCAGCGTACAAAAACCTATGAATGGCTTCACTGATCGAACGACGGCAACCTTCAACAGTGCTCGGCAGTCGGCAGTAATTCAAGGTGGTTATACTCGAGGTCTTGCCCGTATGTGAGTTACAATAGTTTAGTTCGTCTCTGCCGTCGTAAAGCACAGCTCGAAGATGCCTTGTTACAAAGTGGTACACTTCAACGGCCGTGGGTATGCCGAGCCGACCCGTATGCTGCTCGCTCTCGTTGGCCAAGAGTTTGAGGATGTTCGACACTCGACTGCGGATTGGCCCAAGCTCAAAGCCGGTATGTTTTGTAAGATATGAGGTACAAACTGTACGTACATGTTCACCATATTGTTATAAACATATGCCTGTATATACATGTACTATGACTGACCTCGGATGACCTGGCTCTGTGTTTGATGCATGCGCATGTACAGCATCACGGAAATCAGGTCATGAGTTATGTCTCGAGTAAAAACCCCTACATGGGAATAGAAGTTTCAATGAAGTTATATGATTTGAGGCAAAATTGCGTTAGTTTTATGTGCACAAATTACACAATTAATGGGTATAAGGCCCAGAAACACTCGCTCGTACCCAAAGACGCTGGTGAAGGCTTTTTAGTTGAGTTATCACTTTGAACTGAACCGGGGGGGGGGGTCAACGCTTCCGCCTACTCACTACACGTGGAATATGCACGTCCAATTATTGATAATCACGATAAGCTACCCATAATTCTTTGCAACGCATGCGTTTGAATTCCCTCCTAAAATTCATGGTGTAATATAGCGGCCACCAGTAGCCTAACTGAATAGGGCACTGGAGACCGTGGCGGCTAGCCTATAATTCAGTTAGCTAAATCTGGCTGCAAGCTACTGGGTAGTGCAAAAAGAAGGAAACCAACTTTTGACAGCAATTTCACCTACTTGTTGAGCATATTCCAAAAATTCCACTTTAATAGTATTAAAATATTGATCTATAAACATAATTGACGAAAAAATGATTGCAAATGCATATTTTGTCTCTATGATAGGCCTATGTTAGTTGAATCATTCAAGTGCCAAACCTGTTTGCCACGGACTTATTCCATCCGCTTGACTGAGCTCCGGAGCTCGATTTGAAGACAAAAAACACTACACTAGACTTGCACGTGGACAACAGTGATTTTGGTGACATGTATTTAAATTAGCATGATAACACTATTCTTGCGAATTTTTGAAGATTTTTTTCACCACGTATAGTTGAAGAGCTATACTACACAACATTATTTAAAAATTCCAGTCAAAAGTGGGTTTCCGCACTATTTGTGCATCACTAAATTGCTTGTTTACTCATGCTCTTCTCCTCCAATAGTGGAGGGGTGGCAAAGGTGGTCCCTGATGATATGGGCCTTAGGCCTAACTATAGCAGCAGACAATATTATTTTCCAAAGGGCTTATACTTTTTCATATTTACTAAAATGGGTGCATAGGAAAGGTCAAGGAAGCTAATAAGAGGACTAGTGCACACAAACTTTTTCTAGAATCTTTACAATTTTTGACTACTTTTATTTTCTAAAACGGCTCTCCCGGACAGATGTTCCTTTGCAGCAGTTGCCTTACATGGAGGTCGACGGGAAAATCATTCCCCAGAGCCGGGCCATGCATGGCTTCGTGGCCAGAGAATTCGGTAAGTTTCCGTTCAGATGTTGTCATTATTTTATCTTTAAAATATTTCTTTTGCAATAAATATTGAATATGGAGCATGGGCTTCGGTTAAAGATGAAGAGCATAGCTGCTAGACTGTCGTACATAATGCATCAGATTTAATGGGACTCTGGATTTATTAGGATCTTTCTTCTTTTTTAAAATTATTTTGGAAATGTTGTGCTTTTGTCTTTATTACCCAGGTCTAAACGGCGCAAACAACGAGGAGACGACACAAATCGACGTGGTCCTCTCCACCCTCGAAGACATTCGAGTCCCACTCGGCAGAATTTTGTACTACGAAAAAGAACTTGACGAAATCCAAAAGGTATATGAATAACTCATTTTAAAGAAGACATGTCACATTAACAAGTTTGATCGAATATTTAAGCACAACTCTACCGTATTTGAAAGCCGAGTTGTCCAACTCAATAGCAAAGAATGTGTGTAGAAATATGTCGATGGACAATTAAATTCACTAAACTATTAGCGTATATTTACTCACCAATTAAAAGAACACGTTTCCATGGTAACCTTTGAGTTTTCCGTTTGGGTGTTTGCACGTATCAGTTTCAATGTTTAACTACACCCATTGGACTTTGTATATCCGGTTGTGACATAATTGACCTATCGCCGTTTGGTTAACATGGCTGATTATTTTTTGATTCACATTTTTTTAAAAGGGGTATCATATTTTGCAGCGTAAAATAAGTAAAATGTATATGATACTTGTATAATCATTCCTGCCATCATCGTGACTGGCTAAGAATGAGACTAAAAATCACATTTAAAGATTTTAAATTGGAATCTTTTCAATCTTTTTTAAGCCTTGTACATCACTCATGCACAGATACAGAGAGAAACGTCGAATGCAAACCATGTAAGACCTACAATAAATCAACTGTTTTTTTTTCTCTCTCTCCAGAAAGAAAAGCTGAAAGAGTTTTATGAAAAGACGGCCCCCAAATACATGGCGGGACTTGAAAAGATGCTCACAGATAACAATGGTGGTCATGGCTTCTTCGTGGGTTCAAAGGTGAAATTGGATAAATGGCGCCCTCTGGTGATATCTTTGAAAAAAATAATATATTTTAGATTTCGAGACTGAAAATACACAACGTAGGTTTTCATGGGACTTTTGCTTTGACCTCTAACAACACGAAAGCATCCCTACTTATGTACAATTTATCGCTAATGTACTTCTCCATGCAGATTTCTCGTGCCGACATCTTCTTTTACGTCGTCATGGAAACGGTCGAAGAGGACGAGCTGAAGAAGTACCCTAAGCTGTCGGCACTGATGAAACGCGTTGCCGAAGCCCCGAAGATCGCTGCTTACTTAGCAAAGCGTCCGCAGACGCCATGGTGAACCTTGTGGGACAAGCGGCTGAAGTCTAAGAATGAATGGCAGTAACTTGGCATGACGGCCAAACTGAGAAAAAACCCTATCGAAAATACTATCCATAGGCCTAAATACCTCAGACACTGGACCTAGTCTGGTTCCCAGACCATAAGAATCTGACTATTCCTGATGAATCTTAGGTCCGGAAGCATCCGGTAATACATTGTATTACAATTCATGTCACGTGACTAAAACGGGAGGAATTCCTCCTTTTTCCGAAAATTTCCAAACAGGACAACAAATTTGCATTCACTGTGTTATTTTTGTTTTATATACTTTTAAAAAAATGGACTTTAGAAGCCTTATTGGTTTTCCCACAAAGCAGGGTTTTAAATTAAGTTCCGGGAATGTTTGCTCAATCACACTTTTCCCCTTAAATACAAAATAATAATAAACTGAGGTTATTAACCGTCTACATTTTGTGTGTGATAACAATTTTTTTTTTTGAGAAAGATTTTAATACATGTATATGTACATGTATCTCGAAAAAGTATCGAGATTGAAATTGCGGGTTGTTAAATAAATAATTTCCGAAAAGCATTTTAAGGTGCTTAATATTTAGGACCGTACATAGTCTGTCAAGCCATCCAACCCTCTTGCATAGGCCCTAATACTATATTCAAGGTCAACTTCACCGTCATTTTAAGATTAAAAAAAAATCTTTTCACATCGCATGAAATTTACAAGTCACACTGGGTCTGAATAAAGCTAGATCCATACTTACTTATAGACCTTTTCACCAGAAAATGATAATTTATGCAACTGAGGATAATGTATGCAATATGAGGGCCGGCCGTGAGGCGGCAACGAAACTGGGTCCATCATGTACGGGGGTCCAAACATTCGGGTCATTTTCTCTCCATTTGTCCAGGATTTTTGGCTGTTTTGTCTTTAGAGAAGCCTCTACAATCGTCATAAGTAATACTGTTTATCATGGTTTTTACGCACAAAGGAAACGTTTTTAGGCCTTAAAAAATGTTTTCGGATCCGTGCGTTCGATGCCGAGGGAAATATGCAGGACTCCTTTCCGTGGAACAAAATATTCCTGTTTGATTCGGGGTACCATCCATCAAATTTTGGGCCGAATCGCTGTCTGAATCATATCAAGGGCGAAAGCACGCACAAGTACACTGCCGTGCTCCACATCCCTTGTGCCGGCGGGCGCGGCGCAGCTAGCCCTTGTAATTCATCCCCTGATTCGGCCCAAAATTTTTACCCCGAATCACACAGGGTTTTTTATCACTCATGCGGAAAGGAGCCCTGACATTTACCCTTGATATCCTGCGCACGGGACGACAAAATGTATTCAAGTTTTATTTTGTGCATCAAAAAGAAAAAAATTATGCTGGATAGTATAACTTAAGACGATTTTAGAGGCTATTCTCAAGCAAAAAGCGAGAAATCCTGGACAAATTGAGAGATAATGACCCGAATGTTTGGACCTCTGTACATTTTCAACGGGCCCACCTACGTACGCTTCCGCCTCACGGCCTTCATTTGCATATATTATCATTTTCGGGTGAAAAGTCTATTGCCGAGTATTATAACAGCAATGACGGGGCAGAAAATGAAAGGTCAGCTGATGACCTAAAGATTGCCGTCATACAAAATTGGGCCTACTGTGCACATATTGCATATGCTATAATAGCTAGCCATTGCTGAAAGAACCGACGTGCACATTAGGGGCCGCCTTCAAACACCGGAACACAGAGCGCACGGTTATAGCATCATTGCCCGCTTATTTGTGTGGAGTCCATTGCCTGCAGCCTAGCCTACTATTCGACCTGCAATTCCAAGATGCCTTCCTACAAGGTGATTTACTTCATTCAACGGCCGTGGGTACGCCGAGACCACGCGCATGATGCTGGCTCATGTCGGCCAGGAGTTTGAAGATGTACGGTACACTCGCGAGGAATGGCTTGAGCACAAACCGAGTAAGTTAATTCTGTCTGGAGCCTGTGTATAGCCTAGGGACCTACAACTTATCATACAAGCATGCAGTGAAATGCTAGCTGTGCAATATTGTGTATGGATTAATTAGGCTCTTACTTTGTAGCGTTCATAATCGAAGGGGCAATTTTCATTCAAAAATATGACTGGGGTTGTTGTGAGGGTTGGGAATTTTTTTCCTCCATGATTTAACCAAGATTACATGGCTCACATAGACCAACACTCAGCTCGGGCAAGAAAAGACTTGCTAGCCACCTGCCTATAACCGTTAATTGATCATCCAGTCTCTTTCCCCCATGTATTTTATACGTGAAAATAAGGCTTATTTTGTGTCTACGTACATGTACATGCGGCAGTCATATGCATGGATTATGGTGGCCCTGAAGGGACACCACAGTCGTGATTTTTATCTACGACAAGTCGACACCACCTATTCTAAACAAAAATAATAATAATACAAAATCACGACGTGCAGGAGTGATGACGTCGTTTCGGTGATATAGGCCTACGAATTTGATTTTTTTTTTTTAAAGAAAACAACAGTGGTTCGAAAGAGTGTACAAGTTAAGTAAGATTGGATCATGGTTATATACGTGATTTAAGTCTGAGATATGACTTTTGGTGATGAGTCTGAGTTGACTTCCCGTCACAACCCTTTCACCTTTAACCTTTCATCCTCTCCCAGGGGCGTTTTTATTTTAGTAGGGTTTTCAGTTGAAAAAAAATATTATTTCAGACGCACATTTCCGGGTTTCATTCATTAGTTCATATTAATAAATACCTTGGAGAGTTGATGGTTTCTGATTGGTCGAGACTCGATCACGTGGCCGGGCATTAACGGTGATATAAAGACCGGCTTCAAAGAACAAGCGAATAAATGGCCCCTGAACCAGCATTGATCCAGCCCCATGGAAGGCAATGATTGTCCAAATTTACAACAGTCATACCAGCCTCGACTCCAGGGGCGCGTGCTCGTTCCTTACACTAACCCCTGGCTGTGATGATGACGTAAATGACGCTGAATGGCTATTCACAGCGTACTGCGCGCGCATTTCGAAGATTGCACGCCGGGCGCGCCCATAATGCGCTCGCGTGCTTTGCACGTAACGTCACCTTCGAAACAAAAATTATGATTCAACAGTCGCGATGCCTGTACGATATGGATTATGTCAGCCGCGTTTTTTCGCTAAAAAAAACCCTGTATCTGTGGTTGTAAAGGCACGAAAGGGATACTTACATTTAATACAAATCTTTGCTAATTAACACAACGTCCAAACGTTGTGTTTGAAAGGATTGATTCTTCAAAATCACAACTTTTAACATTTTAAAGATGGCGTCGGCACGTAAAACGGATAAACTGCAGCCCTAATTATAATGTGCCGTATTTTGGCACATTTAAATTACACAATTCCAGGGGTTACGATCGCGCAAGGCATGATGTGAAACAACATGGCGCTGCAAGATCGTACCCACGGGGTACAAGGTTGCAGTCATACGGTAGCTTGTAACAATACAGCACTGCACATGCGCTCAACCACCTTCGCGTGAGACTGACGCGCGCGTACGCAACACAGTTGCTATGGTGCGCGCGCGTAAGGAAGTTTTGAAACGACGACGACAGCGGCAGTGCACTATACTGAGGATGTTACGACGAAAGCGAAGATCTACGATTTATTTTCTGTAAATACTTCGCCCATCGACATATTTATCTTTCCTAGCCAATTTTGTAATTCTGGACACAAAGAATGTGTAAACGAAATTTCAGCTTCCTCCATAAGGTAAATATATGAAAACATTGTTGTAATTTGTTTGGCTACGGCAGCAGAAGTCGTACGCGTACGTACGCAATGAAGACGTTGCAATATTGTCCAGCGCAGCCTGGGCCCGGCTGTGGTGTATATAACAACGCTTATTGAAGAGACAGGGTACCACGCATAAGCTAAAATATGGCCCATGAACATGAACACAAAAAAGTCTGGAAATATCGCCGGAAAAAAAGTCACAAAATTGGAGCATTTTAACTGTTTATTTCGTTAAAAAGGTATTTATTAATGGGAATAACAGTGTGAGGATCTTGTCTTCACTGCGTGATAATGACCGGGTTTGGGGGTGACCGCTGTTAATGGACCGAGACGCAGTGAAGACCGGACCCTCACACTATTATTCCCTTAGTACTGTATGGCGGCGTCTTTAAATCCAACTTCATTTTCTACATTCTCTCTCGACAGATGTGCCTTTGCAGCAGCTGCCTAACCTGGAAGTCGACGGGAAGATCATTCTCCAGAGCCGGGCCATGCATGGCTTTGTGGCCAGAGAGTTCGGTGAGTTTTCGTACAGGTTGTTTGGCCTATTAATTAAATTTGCGGAAGGGTGTTTCAGAAGATACATTTGAAGTTCATTAATTGTCATCACTGCGTGTACTCGGTGCACGAAAAAAATACAGGTAGGAATATGGGAACATGTAAGCTTATGTGATGGTTGGCGATAGAGTATAGCAGTCGTTCTAGTGAAACGTTGCTTCTAAACTATGTTCAACTTGACTGGTCATGTAAACTGTTGCCATCATCAATGCGTCGTACCCACAATGCATCAGAGCATCAGAGGTAAGCCTCGTTCAAGGAGTCTAAATTGCACATGGCACTCAACATTCTCAATTTCGTGAAACTTGTCTTTGTACGTCGTGTAGGCTTGAATGGTGCGAACAACGAGGAAACAACTAAGATCGACGTGATCTTGGCAACGCTTGAAGATCTTAGAACGCCACACAGCAGGATTCGGCATAGTGAGGAGGGCGAAGAGAAGAAGGTGAAATAAGGCAAATCATTTCTTTGTTTCAGATAAAAATGTAAGCTATTTCCGAAATACCCCGATGAATTATCTCCGTCAACATTACTTCAATCTTTTCTTTGTTTTCTTAGAAAGAAAAGATGGCTGAATATTATGCGCAGACTGCTCCCAAGTTTTTAACGGGGCTTGAGAAGATGCTGGCAGCCAACAATGGTGGTGACGGATTCTTCGTCGGCTCAAAGGTATTACACCTAGACATGCATGGCGCGCGGTTTTTATTTAGTCGCCGTTGTCGTTCGAGATGACAAAATATTTCACTCGAGAAAAAACGGTTTTTGAGTACTAGAAATAGGTAGGCCCCTACTTATAGTTAAATTTGATCATTCACAGTAGCTCATCATTGTATTTGTCTTATTTGATGATCAGTGTGTATTAAATATTTAAACTTAATTTGACAACTGAAAAAATAGTAGTTGGCGTTTCAATAGCGCCCTCACTCGAACCTGAGTGGGGCAGAAAGGCTTCGTAATAAAGTCACGAGCCCGATGTTTCAAAGAAAACATTTACACATCATTTCCTTCCATTGGAGTTTGATCAAAAAAATGATGTCCAAGGATTATTCTCCACCAGATTTCTCGTGCCGACATCTTCTTTTACGTCGTCATGGATTACCTTGCCGAGGATGAAGTCGAGAAGTACCCTAAGCTTGTTGCTCTCAGGGAGCGCGTCGCCAAGGACGCCAATATCGCTGCTTGGCTGGCCAAACGCCCGCAGACGCCGTGGTAGAAAAGATGCTCCAGAGTACAGCAAGCTTGAAAGATTTGACAACTGATAATTATAGATCGATAGATACATTTGTAAAAATCACCACATTACACAATTGTCATGTTTGTTTGGTCCACTTGATATTATAGACACTGCCTCGATGTACACGATCATTTCACAAAATGTCCGCAGACGCCATGGTAAACCTTATGGGACAAGCGGCTGAAGTCTAAGAATGAATGGCAGTAACTTGGCATGACGGCCAAAAGACAAAACCCTATCGAAAATACTATCCATAGGCCTAAATACCTCATGACACTGGACCTAGTCTGGTTCCCAGACCAAAAGATTCTGACTATTCCCGATGAATCTTAGGTCCGGTAGCCTCCAGTAATATATTGTTTTACAATTTACGTCACGTGACTAAAACGGGAGGAATTCCTCCTTTTTCCAATAATTTCCTAAGTTTGCCGAATTCGTTTCGCCGACAATCGGATAGCGCCCGAGTATTTCCGAGTATAATATAGCTTTAATTAACTGCTAATTGCTTATTATTTTTTTTAAATGAGTTGATAATTAATATTCATTGCTTTCATTTAGAAAACTTGAAATTCAACGATGATTTTGCGCATCAAATATACTCGGATCGTATTGGCGAACTTTTTGCTGCGTCATGTACAATTTTGAATTTGACGACCGTTACCGAGATTTTCCAAAACTCGGTCTTCTTCGGCTCCGCCTGCTAACAGTGCTATTTGCGTGCCTAATTTTGAAGATTCCAGATCAACATTTGTCAATGTTATCTTACAGCAACATCAAACTGTATTATCATAACTGAATGATATTACGAAGCAAGTGATTTATTGAAAAATTTGATCAGAACATTAAAAGCTAAAAGTGATAAAGCGAAATCGGAAACGAAGCCCAGCTTTGAAAAAGGGACATCAATGTCGTCATGTTTATTTTTAGCCACGGAGGCTGCCTGACCTACAATTTAGACGTGAGCGTCGGGAATAATTGTCAGGTCTGGGAACCAGACTAACACTGGACCATTCCAATTGGTTCAAATCCCGTCACGCGGACGGTTATACACTGCGATTAAAGCTATCAGTCGGCAATAAAAGTGGCCCCTGAATCAGGACAACAAATTTGCATTCAGTGTGGTATTTTTGTTTTATATACTTTATTAAAAAAAAAAAATTGGACTTTAGAAGCCTTATTGGTTTTCCCACAAAGCAGGGGTTTGAATTAAGTTCCGGGAATTTTTGCTCAATCACACTTTTCCCCTTAAATAGAAAAATAATGATAAACTGAGGTTATTAACCGTCTACATTTTGTGTGTGATAACAAAAAAAGCTTTTTTTATTTTGAGAAAGATTCTAATACATGTATATGTACATGTACATGTATCTCGAAAAAGTATCGAAATTGAAATTGCGGGTTGTTAAATAAATAATTTCCGGAAAGCATTTTAAGGTGCTTAATGTTTAGGACCGTACATAGTCTATCAAGCCATCCAACCCTCTTGTATATAGGCCCTAATACTATATCCAAGGTCAACTGCACCGTCATTTTAAGATTTAAAAAAAATATTTCCACAACGCATGAAATTTACAAGTCTCACTGGGTCTGAATAAAGCTCGATCCATACTGATAGACCTTTTCACCAGAAAATGATAATTTATGCAACTGAGGGATAATGTATGCAATGAGGGCCGGCCGTGAGGCGGCAACAAAACTGGGTCCATCATGTACAGGGGTCCAAACGTTCGGGTTATTTTCTCTCATTTGTCCAAGATTTCTCGCTGTTTTGTCTTTAGAGAAGCCTCTAAAATCGTCATAAGTAATACTGTTTAGCATGTTTTTTTACGCACAAAAGAAACGTTGTTAGGCCTTTAAAAATGTTTTCGGATCCGTGCGATCGATGCCGAGGGAAATATGCAGGGCTCCATTCCGTGAAAAAAATATATATTCCTGTTTGATTTGGAGTACCATTCATCAAATTTTGGGCCGAATTGCGGTCTGAATCATATCAAGGACGAAAGCACGCACAAGTTGTACATTGCCCCACATCCCTTGTGCCGGCGGGCGCGGCACAGCTAGCCCGCGTAATTCATCCCCTGATTCGGCCCAAAATTTGTTCCCCGAATCACACAGGGTTTTTTTTATCACTCATGCGGAAAGGAGCCCTGCCATTTACCCTTGATATCATGCGCACGGGACGACAAAATGTATTCAAGTTTTATTTTGTGCATCAAAAAGAAAAAAAAATATGCTGGATAGTATAACTTAAGACGATTTTAGAGGCTATTTTCAAGCAAAAAAGCGAGAAATCCTGGACAAATTGAGACATAATAACCCGAATGTTTGGACCCCTGTACATTTTCAACGGGCCCGCCTACGCTTCCGCCCCACAGCTCTCATTTGCATATATTATCAGTTTCGGGTGAAAAGTCTATTGCCGAGTATTATAATAGCAATGACGCGGCAGAAAATGAAAGGTCAGCTGATGACCTAACGATTGCCGTCATACAAAAATGGGCCCACTGTGCACATATTGCATGTGCTATAATATTAATAGCATTGCTGAAAGAACAATGTGCACATTGGGGGCGGCCTTCAAACACCGGAGCACAGAGCGCACGGTTATAGCATCATTGCTCGCTTATTTGTGTGGAGTCCATTGCCTGCAGCCTAGCCTACTATTCGACCTGCAATTCCAAGATGCCTTCCTACAAGGTGATTTACTTTAACGGCCGTGGGTACGCCGAGACCACGCGCATGATGCTGGCTCATGTCGGCCAGGAGTTTGAGGATGTACGGTACACTCAAGAGGAATGGCTCGAGCACAAACCGAGTAAGTTAATTTTGTCTGGAGCCTGTGTATAGCCTAGGGACCTACGACTTATCATACAAGCATGCAGTGAAAGGCTAGCTGTGCAATATTGTGTATGGATTAATTAGGGTCGTACTTCGTAGCGTTTTTGCAATTTTCATTCAAAAATATGACCGGGATTGTTGCAAAGGTTGGGCATTTTTTGCCTCTATGATTTAACCAATATTACATGGCTCACACTCAGCTCAGGCAAGATAAGATTTGCTAGCCCAGCTGCCTTTGCCTTTAATGGGGTTGTCAGTTGAAAAGTATATAATTTCAGACGCACGTTTCATGGGAGCTCATGGTACTGTATGGAGGCGTCTTTAAATCCAACTTCATTTTCTACATTCTCTTTCGGCAGATGTGCCTTTGCAGCAGCTGCCTAACCTGGAAGTCGACGGGAAGATCATTCCCCAGAGCCGGGCCATACATGGCTTTGTGGCCAGAGAGTTCGGTGAGTTTCCGTACAGGTTGTTAGGCCTATTAATTAAATTTGTGGAAGGGTGTTTCAGAAGATACGTTTGAAGTTCATTAATTGTCTTCACTGCGTGTACTCAGTGCACAAAAAAAATACAGGTAGGAATATGGGAACATGTAATCTTATGTGATGGTTGGCGATAGAGTATAGCAGTCATTCTAAAGTGGCTACTAAACTATGTTCAACTTGACTGGTCATGTGAACTGTTGCCATCATCCATGCGTCATCGTACCCACAATGCATCAGAGGTAAGCCTCGTTCAAGGAGTCTAAATTGCACATGGCACTCAACATTCTCAATTTCTTGGAACTTGTTTTTGTGTAGGCTTGAATGGTGCGAGCAACGAGGAAACAACTAAGATCGACATAATCTTGGGAACGCTTGAAGATATTAGCAGGCATATGCAAAGCGGTGAGACGGACGAAGAGAAGAAGGTAAAATACGGCAAATTAATACTTTGTTTCAGATAAAATGTTAGCTATTTCCGAAATACCTCGATGAATTATCTCCATCAACATTACTTCAATATTTTCTTTGTTTTCTTAGAAAGAAAAGTTGGCCGAATTTTATGCGCAGACTGCTCCCAAGTATTTAACGGGGCTCGAGAAGATGCTGGCAGACAACAATGATGGTGACGGATTCTTCGTCGGCTCTAAGGTAAACCTAGATTAAAATGGCGCGCGGTCATTTATTTCCTCGACGTTAATTGTCGTACGAGCTGACAAAATATTTCACTCGACAATAAACGGCTTTTGTGTACTAGAAATAAGTAGGCCTCTACTTGTAGTCAAATGTTATCATTCACATTGTCATTCTTCAATGTATATTCCTTATTTGATGAGCAATGTGTATTAAATTTTTTAACTTAATATGACAACTGAATAATAGTGGTTGGCGTTTAAATAGCGCCCTCACTCGAACCTCAGTGGGGTAGAAAGGCTTCGTAATAAAGTCACGAGCCCTATGTTTCAAAGAAAACATTTACACATCATTTCCAACCATTGGAATTTGATCAAAAGCTGATGTCCAAGGTTTATTCTCTACCAGATCTCTCGTGCTGACATCTTCTTTTACGTCGTCACGGAATACCTGGCCGAGGATGAACTCAAGAAGTACCCTAAGCTTGTTGCTCTCAAGGAGCGCGTCGCCAAGGACGCCAATATCGCTGCTTGGCTGGCCAAACGTCCGCAGACGCCGTGGTAGAAAGATGATCCAGAGTACAGCATGATTGACAGCTTTGACAGTTGATAATTATAGATCGATAGATACATTTGTAAAAATCACCACATTACACAATTGTCATGTTTGTTTGGTCAACTTGATATTATAGACACTGCCACAATGCACACGATCATTTCACAAATGTCGTGACGTCAGTAAACTGCCATTAAATATATAATTGTACTTAATCTGAGGGATCTGAGGCAATAATATACAAGATAAGGTGGAATTTGAATCATGCTTGCGGTCAATTTTTATTCTTAGTAGTTAAGCAAATAAACACTATATTTTCAGAGACAAAGAATTGTTTAGAAGCAAAGTCGGTACGCTTTTCGTGAACTACTTCAGTTACAAGAACACATACGGTCAGGAAGTTGAATAGGGCTATCCCTAACAGTCCTGAAGCCTCCAATTCCAATACGATTTGCACACCCCCTAGGGAGTTGGGGTTAACAAAATCTAATATCACCTGTTCATTTAAAGGTGTTTTTAATACCTATACCTACATTATCTTTAAAAGCAGCTGTTCCATTGAATTAGAGGCTGATGAATGGAAATTACATAAGTATAAAACCAAATTTAATTTGGTCTAAACATTAAAGTGTCCCAAAGTTATACTATGATACATTGTAGCAAACAAGATGGGAAAAGTGCCTGTGTGGACGGTAATTCTGTCCCCCGTCCGGGGGACAGAATTACCTAGGTAAAAGTGTCCTCCCCGGCCCGTTAATTCTGTCCCCCTTCAGGTAATTCTTTCCCCTCGAGGTTTGTCCCCCTAGTTTTGCAATGCAGAAGGCCAGTAATTCCCTACATTGTTTTAATGAATTCATACAAGCTATACATTTTTTTACTTTTTAGTAAGCCCTTCATGAAGATGAATAAAATTAACTTTTTGGTCTCTTTGTGAAATGTGAACAATATGTTTCGATCGACTCGGACTCGGAGTACGGTGAAATTACAGCAAGGTCGTGCACTACAGTAGCCCTTTTCTACGGTGGACGCCTCATTGATATAACGCCTACTTGGATTGGTCTAAATGGCTGCCATCCTTGTGAAATAGTTCAGTCGCAAAAGAACAGTCGAAAATTTAACAAAAGCAGCTGTTCCCTTTATGTTACTTCTGGGCTTATGAATATGGAAATTATAATAAGCATACAGCGAAATATAACTTGATCAAGGCATAATTACCCCCAATTACATTACAACAAATAGCGATGCATTCCAGCGAACTTCATGTAGATATTAAAGGGCCAGAGAGACAATTTTTCTACATTATTTATGACAAGCGCATATTTAGAATGGTTTAAGACTTTAAGGGAGGGTGCTTTTTGATGTGGGCCCTATTCACGCGTCGGCCATATTGAATTTAAAGTGAGGTAAAATCTTCATTTTTGGAACTTGCGAAGAGAAATAAAAGCAATGACATAAAGTTAATTACATATTATATCAGTCTGCTCTAATGAATAATTTTTAAATTTTTGATTAAACATACCCTAATGTTTTAAGCCACAAAAAAATGAAAGTGAGGCTAGAATGTATAGTCTGGCACCATTCCATTCAGCAGTTCACAAGTAATAAAATACATTCAGGGAACCCAACCAAAATGGCGTTCTTGTGAATAAGGTCCATAGATCTTGTTCATGCCAGGGTAAAATTAATTAACATACTAGGATTTTTTTGCTTTCAGAACTCATGGTCGACTGAATCCATGATATGCCAATTTGGGGTACAGTGAACGAGTGTCGGCGTATTTCAAGTGAAATGTTTACCAATATTTTTCCACCTTTAGTCCAATTCGAACAGTTAATGAAGTCAAGTTTCTCAAAATGTTTTCATTTTGTTTCATCCCACTGCATTTAGCTCCTTGGGACAAAAACTGCCATTTATTTAATTCTTCCTTTTTCATGGGAAAATTTATGAATACATGTAGAGCATTAATGTGCACGCAGCTTCTAATCATAGTTATGAAGTTTGTTGTTCACTTGGGCAACAATTGTGATTAAATTTTGGTCAAAAATCAACAACACAAAAGCATGAATTTGTGTGTTATTCAGAATGTGTATCGTTTTGGCGACAAATAATTGACGTGTAATATCAAGGAATTTCAAATTGGCATTGAAATGGAAGGCATGAAGTCTTGGAGCTTAAAGGGAAAATACAACATTTGCAAACATCAAAAAATAAAACTACCAAATCATTTTGAAATACCTTGCTGGACTGTTAATGAATGACAGTCTAAAGCATCCTGTAAAATCATGGCACCTGGTATACTGTCATTTTCAAGAAAAGTGGTATTTTTTAATCAATTTCCAACGCTGATCGACCGACCAGCGTTGCAAAAAACTGGCTTTTTTAAAATACTGGCCCCAATTGACCATCGCGCTTGTTTGCAATCGATTACACACCTATGAACGGGTATAAGCCAGCTAGACTGGTTCCCTGACCTTACAATTCCCCAATGTATGTAAACTGCTCTGTTTCTTCTAAAATGATTGTTTTTCTTGGTTTTTATAGCATTTTTGAACCCAAAACCTCAAAAAAGTCAGTGTAACTATATTTGCTATATATATCCAACCCCCCAATTCCATCCATTTCTGAAAATTACAGCGAAAGCAAATGATGTATATTCCCTTTAAAATTTGCACACAGGCCTACATGTACATGTACTACAACTTTTCAAATACATGTAGCAAGAAAACGGACACACAAGACACAACACAGGGACTCAAAAAAGAAACTAGATGATAACATTTTTCCTTTCTTTCAATAAGTAACTTTATTCGCACTCTGTACATATCATGACAGGTGGTTCATACAGTTTCACCCTTGACCCCATTGTAACCCCAGTTGACCCCTGTGGATGACCCATGTATATGTAGATGACCCTTGGAGAGTGAATGGCTTTGATATCAATCAACCGGTATCGGCAACATCATTACTGCAATAAAAAAAGACAAAAAAAAGTTGAGTCAGAGAGGTGTCTCCAAAAATAGGCCAAAAAGGAGCATCAATTTGGAACAATGCTACTAGTATTTGGCACAATGACTACAAGGTCTGTCCCGAATATAGCGAATACTGACTTGAATGGTCAATCACAGTGGCGTAGCCACGGGGGGGCGTGGGGGGGGGGCCACAGCCCCCCCCCATGAAACCTTGTCGCCCCCCCCCCCCCCCCCCACTGAGATTTTGAGTTTCTAAAAAAATTATCATTGATCTACATGACGCCCCCCCTCCATGAAATGTTCCAGCCCCCCAGCGATCAATCATCAACCGTATATTCGAAATAGCTTTTTGCCGGTTTGAATATTCGAAAACAAAAATAAAATACCACAAACCCACACAACTGTGATGTTATTGTTACAGTCAATGTGTCTTAAAGTTGCAGTGCTTTGTCAGGTGCCACTTTTTTGTCGACGGTAGTTTTTTTTTTAACTGGCACACTTCTCAGATGCATGCATGAACTGTTTGAACACTGAGCAACATACTTTATTGTTGATAAAATTCATTTCAGTGCCCCTTTAAAAATAACATTTCGGTTTCCTTCCAGAAACAGTGAGTTGAGCCAAGCATGCCTTCTTACAAGCTCTTGTACTTTGATACCCGTGGCCGCGCCTAAGCGACGCAGACGTTGTTCGATGTGGCTGGAATATCCGGTCAAACGCAGTTTCGAGTAATCGAAAACTGAATTATTCGAAACTGAACACTCCCTAATGATTACAGTGTCTGGCTACATCATGTCCATGGCTGTACTTGGACTTTGTTCGCCAATGCAGCCAGTCCATGGAAAGCACGGTCAAGCCACCCAGCTGTAGAGGACACTTTAACAAGATGAATGAAATCCAGTCTGGGGAACTTGGCTCTCAGACCCAAGAAAATCTTATATCTCATGCCGGTGTAGCGTGAATATCCGACTCCATGAAATATGGACTCATTGGAAGTATTGCGCATGCGTTAGTACGATAATATGCTATTTTTAGGATCATATAGGGAGAGTGACCTGTCACGTGCGAGGGATTAACCATTGATAGGGAAAAGGAGTCCGATTTTCATACGAGTCAGATTTTCATATGACACCGGCATGAAGTCCCCTCTGAGATCCCATCTGAATTGGACCATGAAGTGAGGTTTAACCTCCCTATAGCCAAATCAAAATGGCCAAATGGACTCACCCTCTTGCCAGCGCCAGCTGACACCTTTGTCTTGGCTGTTCCTCGCACCTTCTTCTGTCTGTTCTTGCGTTCCTTACGCTGCTTCCTGGAGGGTCGCTTCCGCTCATACAGCCCGTGCTGCAATTTGAAACGGAGTAAAATCAAACGATTTATAGCCATGCATAACATGCATAATATGCTAATACAAATGTGGAAAAGAAACAAGTGTCTCTGCTTTTTAAGGACTACAGTGGAACACCCCTATAACAAACATCGCAGGATGTCGTAAATGTGCCTGATTCCCTGGGTTTTCCCTATATCATTCTGGGGTTTCTTCCCACCACTAGAACTCCTTAGAAATTTCCTTTTACGTCTTCAACCGAGGGACCCCACTGGATAGAAAGAAGTCGAAAGACTTTCGCGGGCTATCCCGGCAAATTGCTAAACGATCAAAAGCAAACTAACAAATGCTGAATGCATTTCAACTCCAGCAAATATCGCCGCAAATGTTTCATGACAAATTGACTTTGTCGTGTTCAAATTCATGTATTCAAATTCATTTGAAGCACATGAATGAATTGGCCTTAGGCTGAGAAAAAAAAATAGTTCTGCTTCCGATTACATGGCATTTGAAAATAGGGTAGGTAGGTAGGGAATTTTTGTTTTTTGGCCAATTTTTTTTGTGAACGATCATATGGAGGCGTCTGCATGTAGTCAAGGGTAAAAGGTAGAAACTGATGGTTTTGGGTGTTTTTTCCTCATTTTTCCCATAAAAAAAATTAGGGTAGGGCTCTCAGAATAGGGTAGGTAGGGAAACCGGAAGCAGAACTATTATTTTTTTTTGGCCTTATAGGAAAAGTACTGACTCCAACAACATTTCTGTCTAAACAGAAGTTAGGACGGTCCAAATTATAGTTAACTAAAGGTAAGGCGTAACATATACAAATGCTTGGACGTACCCTTGCTAGTCTGTACTTGGGCTCATACTTCTTGGCGAAATCCAAGGTGTCGTACACCAGACCGAATCCTGTCGTCTTGCCGCCACCGAACTGGGTACGGAACCCAAAACAGAAGATGACGTCCGCGGTGGTCTTGTAGACCTTGGCCAGCTGTTCCCGGATCTCTGTCTTGGGCACCGTGGCTTTGCCTGGATGGAGGACGTCGACAACCATCTGCTTGCGGTTCAGCAGACGGTTAGTCATGAACTTGCGGGTTCGGACTGTCACTGCCGAGTCACCCTTCAAGAGGAAAAAAACAGAATAAAAGTTTTAAATAAACTGAAACACAATGTCACTGTCAGTGAACCCTGGCAGGATATTTTCATGTTTAAAAGTACACACACTGTCAACGGTCATGACTGTGAATTTGTCTTCGTTGCCTTGATCACAGGGAGCAGGATTCAAGATCATCACACAGTTGATGGCTCATGAGACATAACCATGATAACGTGACCTACAAAAACAATTCTCCCAAAACTAAAAGTGAGGGCGTGCCACTTGAAAAATACGTACTAAACGTAGGGCATAGTATACTAGAAATACCTTTTCGATTCCTACTGTAATATAAGTACGCCGCAATACCAACATGACAGTACACACAGACAAAGCGGACTCTCGAGTCTCGACTCGCGAGAGTATTGGCAAAGATCCGAATTTATTCCTTCATGGGCAGAGTTACAATTTTTAGGCCTAGTCCGAATGGCTTTTCCAATACAAAATTTGGGGGTTGTTTTTAGACATGTCGACCATTCCCGATCTTCACTTTCCAACAATGATTCCACTGATTATGTTACTCCAATATCATTTTATTAATTTAACCTCCTTTTCATAACCTCCTGATCATGGTGATAAAACTCAATATCCAGCTTACGGCAAATTGTACGGAAATGTTCTAAATCGGAGCATCGTCGTTGACCATTGAATTTATGTTTAGTATAACAAAGATCAAATACAAAATTGTCACAGTGTCAAAATTAAATTCATCCCCTTTATAGAAATTTCTTCTTTTATCTCAAAATGTGTTCGGTTAAGTTGATGTTCAGGGATATTTTAAGCGTGTTTTCCTCACCATGTTGACAACAGTAATGGCTGCCGAAAAAGAGGCAATCGCAATGGTAATCGGGCGACTCTTCAATGTGTACGGTGCATACGCTACAAGGCACGGGTTGATGCGCGGATACCAGTTTATATGGACCGATCAATACGGTGGCTCAGAGTGGCCATTGCAAATGAGATACTGAAAAGGATAGGAAATTTTTTCGTATAAGATTCAATTTTAAAATTGGTAAAAAAAAAACAATTAAAAGCGATAACTTGCTCTATGCTGCCATCGAAATCGCCGTGCTCTCATTATTTCCCGCTATCCCGTTTCTTTTTGTGTTTGTGTCGGCGGGTAGCAGGGTTCGACCTTAACTTTTTTGTTCACTACCCTGCCGGGCTACTGAAACGGACTCTTAACTAGCCCGCGGGCATTTTCACTAGCCCGCATTTTTTGTAGCTCAAATACAAAATGGCGAATTTTCAGACTCAATTCTGATGGAATTTTGTCAGTGTTTTGAATAAACAGATCTAATAATTTAACCTTTTAAAACAGTTGAAAAAAACTAGACAAAAATTGATGAGGTTTACTTCCTAGGCTAAATTAAATGATTTATTTCTATAATTAATAATATTTTGACTCGCCAGCCGGGCTACTTAAGGAATAGTTTGACAAGCCCGCCGCTGTTTTGACTAGCATTTGGCTAGCGGGCTACCGCTAATTTCGAACCCTGCGGGTAGTGTACAAATCAAATAATAATACAAGTACTATTGTACACATGGCTAAAATGGAGCTACGTACGTGCAAGAAAATAACAACGACTGAAAGAAATTTCCATTCAGTGTTCCACGGTGCTTTGAATTCGTGCTTTGAACAAGGTCAGTTTCTGTTTGGTGGTCCATGTGTGAAGCAGGATAGGAGAATATTATCGTTTGGCTGGGGCTGCATTTAGCATCGACTGTATCCACTCAGTGTAAGGTCAATTTTACATGAACTTAATACATGTACATGTAGTAGGCCTAAGAACTGACTGCAGTTGTAGATTATATGCATTGCACATGTACCACAAGGCAAGTTGACGTATTTATACACAATTTGACATCAAGATGCTATATCATGATATTCCCCACACGAAGACAGATTGCTATGTACATGTATATTGACAACGAACATGTGTAGCACAAGCTTGCAGTGCCTAGTATCAGGTTGTTGTTCTATTTTCCTTTTTTTTTTTTTGGAAGGGATAGCCTACGTTATTATACAACTGCCAGTCGATGAACAAACTGATGCATGAATTGTTTTATACACTGAGCAACGCACTTTATTGTTGATTAAATTAATTTCAGTGCCCTTTTATAAATAACATTTCGGTTTCCTTCCATAACAGTGAGTTGAGTCAAGCATGCCTTCTTACAAGCTCTTGTACTTTGATACCCGTGGCCGCGCCGAAGCCACACGGATGCTGTTCGCTGTGGCGAATCAGGAGTTTGAAGATGTCCGCATCACTAAGGAGGATTGGCCCAAAGTAAAACCAAGTAAGTTGTGCGTATTATATCGCCATCTGTGATGAAACCTTTACCTGTCATGCTTAAATTAAATCGAACAAAACCAAATTTGTTTTCTATGAAGGGTGCCGAATTTCGAGGACCTGAAGAACTTTCGAGTTGCAGTTTTAAAAAACAATATCTGAAACTGCTTCTATTGTGATTGTGAGATCCTTTCGCCAAGAAAATTCAATGAATAAGAACTTGCAAAAATGGGGAATCCGGAAATCCACAAATGGAGGAGGCAGTGTGTAGTTCATTAAATTTTCTAAATGTTGAAGTATCCAATCTTTTAACAGTCTTTATTTCTCTTTAAACTTAATTCAGTAGAGATTATTTTTCGTTTTACACTATTGCAGCCACTCCTCAGGGCCACATTCCGGTGCTGGTCGTCGACGGTAAACAACTTCCTCAGAGTGCTGCCATTGAATCATTCGTTGCAAAGGAGCTCGGTATTCTATGTTTTGTTTGCTTTACGGTTTAAATTTGACTGTTTTACCACTGTTTGTAATGTTTTTTTCTAGACTTTCAGCGGCCGCACCTCGAGTGGCCCTCTGGCCTTGTGATAGGCGATTACCACTAAAGAAAATCCTTCACCCGTTTTGTGAATTTAAAGAACATTTTATTATATTATTCTTATTATCATTATTGGTTTATTGAAGCTCATGAGTCTTGGCCCAAAGACCAAATTGTACATGATTTACAGATAAAATACCGTTAAAAGCAAAAAAACATTTTAGCAATGGGTTCCTACTGTTCACACTTACATTTTGTTAAAATATTTTTGCTAGCTGCTCTACACCTGATTGATTTAAATACGTGACCGTCAGTAATTTGCGTTTTAAATTTTTCACTTTCAGGGTTATACGGCTCTAATAACTGGGAGGCAGCACAGATAGATGTTGTCAAGGAAACACTAAAAGACTTGATCGACCCTATGATCATGCCCGTAATGTTTGAGCTAGACAAAGCCAAACAGGTAAGAGGATCCTTTAGGAGCACCACCCGAAATTAGCAGAATGCGCCCTTAAATTGGCAGGGTGTATTGTGCCCCCCCCCCCCCCCCCTCAGTCAGCAAACCGACCTTCTATATTTACATGTATTTTATTTCTTTTCTAACTTAACGATTTAATTAAGCTTAAGTGAATAGTTCATTATCCTCTTTGGGGTCTAAAGTACATTTTCCCTCCGTCATTTTCTTTAGGCAGAAAACGCCAAAGAGTACTATGAGAATGTTGCACCTCCTCATCTGAAGAATCTCCAGGATCTTCTTGAAAAGAACAAAGATGGAATAGGATACTTTGTTGGTGATAAGGTAATATGTACAAAAAGATGGAATTTTAAAGAAAATATTTTTTTCTTGATTTGGGGCACTTTAAAAGATGTTAATCAGTCAAAGTGTTAGCGAGTTTTTTTAATGTGTTTCTTCTTATTCAGGTATCCCTAGCTGACGTCATCTTCTTTGTCACCATGGAGTGGTTTGAGAAGCCACCGTACTCCACCAAGGGCTTGAAAAGCTTCCCCAAACTGGTGGCGCTCAAGGATCGCCTGGCCACCAACGACCTCGCTAAGCATCTTAGAGAGCGCCCTCAAGTCTATTGGATTCATGATTGAAATTGAGGGCACAGTTGTAATATATAAAGGTTTTACTGGTCTCATCTAAAAAAAAATGGTATGCTACATGAGTACGAGTGCCGATACGATTTTCTATTTGATGTTCAGGTACTGTTTTTGTAATTTGCCAAAAATATTACAGTAGGCTTATAGAAAAAAAATGACAAAATTGATAGTTATGCTAATAAGTAGTCCTTACTGTTGAATATCAAAATTTAACCATTAACGTGAATATGTTTTGTCTCAACTTGCTTAACCTGCATGCTATGTACGTTTTGTGTTAACTTTAAACTTGTTTGCACCAACATCATTGGACAGAATACGTAATTTGCATAAACATGTAATTACCAATTTGATTATAGCATAATTGGTATGACTAACCCTTTCTTAAACGCATAATGTATTTCGACTTTCGTTAAAAACATTTGCATCTTTTTCAGACCATGTTTCTTACTGTGCTCTGAACCCAGTTTCTGTTGATACCCGCAACATTCCGTTGTTTATCGAACCGTGATGTTTTACTGCCTTGATTACAGAATCCATTACCGCTCACATTATAGGGCATCATGTCGGGAAGAATAGTCAATTTTAGAATCAATTATCGTGTGTGTTTAGACCGCCTCGTAATGGATGTGTTCTATATTTTCTGAAGTAATCACTTTTAGGTTTTTTTTTAAATATTTGTAGTCATTGCATGCACTTTAAAATAAATAAAAAAGAAACAAGATAAGATTGCTGTAGTTTTGATGTGCAAAGCAATGTAAGAGTAAATTTTCGTTTCAGCGATATTTTTGCAAAAATTTCCTGTGTGGTTCATTTGAAGAAAAAAAAATCTAACTCAGCTGTAATACTTCTATTTTGTTTGTTCACTTTAACCGACACCCTTATCAGTTTTTATCCCTGAATGGACTTTGTACTACAAAAAATTCTGAAGCACAGGCACTCTGCATAAATTATGAATACACATAATGCCGGCTGTATAGTCGTAACAGGATTGATCAGTGAACGTTGGTTGTGATACCGATACCGGTACATCACAGTCATCTGGATGGCAAGTGTTGATACACCGTGTTTATTTACATGGCCGCTGCTGTTGATACTCCTAGTCCGTATTTGGCCATTTGTATGATACATAGAGGAAGCCGACTGTATCAAAATATCATGGTTATTATTCAGCGGAAGAAGAGGCCATTCCCACGCTGCACAAAGACAATTCGATGCTGATTTACCAATAGGCCTACGCCTACACTGCTAGTTTCATAGGGTTTTCTGATTTCAGAAGTTTTGGAAGTACACGGACGCCTCTTTGATTAAATTTACCAATTCTTGGACTACCGTGAGCATCCCGTGTTGCGGCGTTTGGAGACGGATATTAAAAGGAAGACCAAGTGACTTTCACGGACAAATATCTGGACTCCTTTGTCACGAATTGAGCAGCGTATCTTCTTTGTATCTTCTATGTGCTTGCAGTTCATACAGACCAAGCAAAGTTTCATTTATTGAAACGTCCAAGCCAGCAATTGTTTCATTTATTGAAACGTCCGAAATCTGCATTGTGGAGCTACAGTGACATTAAAACTACAATGTAGTTAAAACGTTGCGGTGATATCAATGGAGGCCTTTAACTGGAAAGATTCTTAAAAATTATTTCGCGCCTTGAAATTAAGATGTTCGAAAAATCTCCCTTGTATAAGAGAAACGAGAAATTGTTGGACTTCAAGTTACACGCTGCTGACAAACATTGAATTCACACCTTAAAGGTATTGGCTTCAAATATTGTTTGCTAAATTGTCTTGGAAGGTCATTAGCCAGTAATTATGCTCTCAACATGAAATGCACGACGAAAGGAACTTCACAGTTCAACCTTCCTTGAACGGTACGAGTGACAGCAAAATTTGCAGCAATGGGTCGGATACGAACCTTCGACATCGTGGTCGACGCTAACGGAGTGGCCGAGGTGAGGGGCGTGCCCATCTACAGACCCGGCGGTCATGTGACGGGGGTCGTCCATCTTGCCCTCAATACACCACGAGAGGACATAGGAGGTAAGAATGGGGCATTCACTTTGTGTAAAACAGGTTTTGAAAGATGAAAGTTTGTATGTATACTAAGACTGTTTAGATAATTAATTTAGATAGTTGGAGAACAGGACTCACACAGTTCTTATTGCATGCTAATAAAGCAATATTTCCTTTTCTTAGTCAATAACTACAAACTCGGCCACATTCTGTTCTCCATTTACTTGGTTGATTAGCAAAGATTTTTTTTAATGTAGAAATTAAATGCGAACTCGATTGTCTTGTATTCGTACGATTTAATTTTCAAGGATTTTTTTCCGAAAAGAAATCTCCTTTTTTTTAAACAAACATTTTTCTTTCCTCAGAAATTTCTATCAAGCTTCAAGGCCGAGCCAAGACGAACTGGTCCGAAGTCGTGCGATCGGGAAGAAGTGTCATCGGCGATCAGCCAGTGACGTATACGGGAACAGAAACGTACATCGACGAAAAGATATCACTGTGGAAACAAAGTGAGAACAAGATCATTGAAACGCACCATATTTTTTTGGTTAAAGCAATAGCTCATGAAAAAAGGAAACAAAGTGAGAACAAGATCATTGAAACGCACCATATTTTTTTTTGTTAAAGCAATAGCTCATGAAAAAAGGCCATCGGCTCAGTGAAAGTATCTAAACGTCAAGAATTACAACAACCAAAAACACTGAGCAAAAATATCAAGAACCACATTATATTCGAGATAATTTTTTTTCATTGTTCAATAAAACAAAAACATAAACGTAAGGTGTCTGCACTGTGTCAAGAATGAAGAACACTTAATCGAAGTTTCCGAACGGCTTAAGCTATTCCGCAAATATTTGGGCCTTACTTGATATTTTTCTTCACACGCTTTTGACCTCACTTTTTATGCCCCACCCCTCACAGCCCATTCGCACCAGAGGTTGAACCGAGGACCCTTTCAGTTCCCGTTCCAGTTCCAGATACCCAATGAGAACCTACCAACTGCCTATGAGGGGACCAGCGGCAGCGTCCTGTACAATCTCAAGTGCGAGATTAGCGGCGAGTCCTCGCTTTCTTACGCCAAGACCATCAAGACAATCGGCATTGCTGGCCGACCGCTGGACTTGAATTCTGTACCGAGTGCGATGGTAAGATTTCAGCTCCATAGGCCCTGGTTGATAGTGAGGCTACCTGGCAAACTTCCTTGTTCGAATCAAATGGAGTCTTACGTTATACTACTTTATAGAAACAGAACATAGATTGACATCATTGCCAGCCAATGATTTATTCAAAATAAAAAAGGCAACTCAAGTATTTGAACGAAATAGTGCCAGAGTAATTTTGAAAGTGAGTCAAGCACTGTAAACTTTATCAATTTGTCTGGCACCTTCCCATTGGGGAGTGTAAAATACATAAAATAGATTTGAGGAACAAAATTTAAAATGGCCATATCGTGAATGAGGGCCCATGGCTAGCTCCCCGTTTACCCTCAAACTCTATAGGTTCAGAATGTCCCCCATAAAGATAACAGGTGTATCAAGCATTAAGCAAGTCCCGTTTGCTTCATTCCTCAGCTTCCCATCCACGGCGAGTCCGAGACTCTCATGAGCTCACTCTGCTGCATCACCGGGTCCATCAAGGTCATAGCCTCGGCGGACAAACGGGCTTACATCCCTGGCGAGACGGCCTACATCACGGCCATCATCCATGGATCCAGCGGGACCAGATATGAGGTCGATCTTAAGCTCGTCGAGGTTTGTCTCAATTTCTTTTCTCAAGTTTCTTACCTTGCTTCCACTATTTCTAATTTTTCGTTTCTTTGCCTCCCATGCACCTCCACTTCTATAGCTTAGTTATCTTCTTCTTCTCTTGTGAGTTTCCTCTTTTCCTCAAACATGAGGCACCAGCAAGTGAACTGTGACAAAGATACATGTATTCCTTTGCTTGCTGTTCACGCCCTTTTTTGTGGCCTGACTTGTGACTTGACTTCTGTTTGGCTTGTGGCTGACTCTGAAGTATATTTGTCGTTTACTTATGATTGACTAGTGATTGACCTGTGATTGACTTGTGATTGAACTTATGATTGACTCTTGATTTGGTTTCTGATTGACACGACTTCAACTTTAACATTTTAGGAGGCCACTTTCCGGGGCACGGGATCCGTCTTCACATCTCCCGGAGTCAGTGTGGCACGCCCTGGTTCCTGTCAGCGATCGCGAGTCGTCTTTCGCAAAAAGACAAGCGGGGTGCTCCAAAGACAGGGCCAGACAACGATTCAGAGAGAACCTCTGATCATTCCGGACTTCAAACCCCTCGTCGACAGTGGCTTCCAGGGGTGTAGTATCATTGACGTCAACTACTTCATAAGTGTAAGTTTTTGCTCGACCCGATGGCCAGCTTACTGTGCTCTGACTGACCGACCGACCGACCGACCGACCGACTGACTCACCGACTGACTGAGTCACTGAATATATAAATATCTTAAACTGACACTTTCAGGTCCAGGTGGACTAGGCAAGCCAGGTCCACGTGGACTAGGCAAGCCTAGTTTGTTACAGCAACCGAGCCTCAGAGCTTGAGGAAATTCCTTCTATCCAGATGCACCTAATCCTTAGGCACTGTAGCCCGAAAGCCTGACAAAATAGAGGGAAGACAATGAGAAGAAATTACAGTTTTAGAGGTGGGAGGAAAAGCCCAGAAGAATACTCTGGGGGAAACCCACGGAATCAGGTAGGGACTGAAAACCCAATCCACATATTGGCCCAGGCGGGATTCGAACCCGGGTCACAGCGGTAGAAGGCGGGGAAAGAACCGCTACGCCAACCTGACATCCCTAACCTCATTTTCATAGGCTTTATTTTTCTTGTCGGCAGATCAATCCCATTCTGAGCCGTCTACGTCAAACACCTGACACCGAGATTCAGCTGCCTGTCACTATAGGGCGTGTTCCATTCACGGCCCTCCCATCGTACCATGCATCGTCCTCTCACATGTCCCATCCTGCTGGTAAGTTACACAACGTTGATACGTGCCCTTTCTAGACCTCTGCTATTTCCAAAATGACCATTTTCCACATGAACCTCATAATGTGGTTAAAACCTTTGGATAAAGAGGCATGATCAACTCATTGCCCGCCCCCCCCCCCCCTTCTACCAACCATAAAACGTCCCACGTGGGCAATTTGGGGGCACGCGACATCCATAAATTTCTTTCGTCCTACCATCCATTAACCTTCCACGTGAACATTTGGAGGTGCATGTCTCCTTCTCCCATCCCATGTGATCGTTGTCTATGGGCCATTAGCATACTCAATAAGATGTCAGAATAATGACTAAACAGCAACTTTCTGATGTATCTCTCCAAACAGAACCACCTCCAAGCTACGAGACAGCAACGTCGTACCGCCATAACACCCCACAACAGCCCAACATCACTGCGTTTGTGAACCAAGCATATTCTCCAGTTGCAGACGATACCACGCCCTCTACACCACGTGATCAAAGTGGTCTAACCGTCGAGCTTCCGCCTATCGCGTCGTCGTCACGCAGTGAAGTCCGAGCCAATCAGAGCGAGACCCAGCAGTCTGAAGACCAGCACGACGGCAGACCAACCCCTCCACGCCCGCCTCCAGTTATCCCTCCTCCTGGATATCGCTCGAAAGCTGGAACTGGCATCCGTGGAATTGTTAACCCCACGTTCTCGGGGGAATCGAGGAATGAAGAAGATGCTTCTGATCAAGAAAAAGGAGGAGAGGCGACATCCGTGGAAAGGTCCCCATCAGATGCAAGCAGACAGCAGGAGCGAGACAGTATTGTCCAACTTGAAGGTGCCGTCCTTCATTCACCGCTGCCACCACCGCCCTCGTTCTCGTCTGCCACAGAGGACGCTTCTAAAGAGAGTCCCGTAAACACAATTCGAGATTCGCAACAAGATAATTTGAGAAGACCCAACCAAGACGAAAGGCGAGACCGGGCACTGTCTCAAGATAGTTTGACAGTCCCGTACTTCCTTCCAGCGTACGAGAGGCAGTTACTCGGTCGTGTCACATCGGAAGAAAATATCGAGGAAGAAGCAGAGCCAGTAGGGGTAAGGTTGCATTCTTTCTTCCTTCCGATTTCCCAAGAGTCGGATTTAGATTTAGACTCCCTTGTCGACCCAACAGAGGTGGCAAGCATAGACAGGCTACCGCCTCCATCGCCTTGGAAGGATGAACAGCCTAGTTTGTCAGTTTTTCAAACTCCCAATGATGATGTTCCCAGCGCTCCTGAAGAAAGTGACAAAGTGCCTATTTTAGAAGAAGCAACGACAACTTCAGTTTCCGAAACTCAGATGTCAGTTCTGCAAGCTATTAAGACCGACGCTTGGGAGGAGAATACCTCCGAGAAAGATGACGAAGATGACGATTCTGACAAGATAACAATTCCTGATGTTTCTGAGGTTGGAGACTCCAAACCGTCTGAAACATCGTTCGTGCCATTTCACTCACCTGAAAAGAGCACGACATCTACCCGAAACCAAGACCTAAATCATGCTGGATCATCCTCTGATTTTGCCAATGTACCATTCCCTGAATCCAGAGAAACTTCACCTGCAAAGGCCAGGCGCTCCGGAGAATCCCTCCAAAGATCCGATAGACCTACTCGCCTCGAACTACATTCTACAAACCTCAACAAGCAGTGGCCTGACGGTAGTCCTGTGTCACCTTCGAACGAATCACTATTTGGGAATGTCCGAATCGTGCACGACACTTCACGGCAGCATTCGAGGACGCCGTCTCCTTATTTCCACCCGGATGACGGTAGAAGAGATCGAGATGATGCGTCTTCCGTCTCCAGCTTCGGTTCTTATACTCCATCTGCTCACACCCCGAAGGAGAGGAGACGAAGCGATCGCGACGAAGATCACAGCCGTGCCAAGTCCTCCGATCACATCGGGGGACGGGAGATCAGCACGTTACCCAGGAGCAAGTCGTCCAGCGGTGGGTTGAGGGAATCTGCCCTTGGGAGTCTCGACAGACGAAAGCGAGTCCTGAAGTACTCGACGTCACATCCTACTCCAAACCAAGATGCGAGAGGAAACCCTTCTGATCGCCGACATGGTTCCAGAACAATGGACTCGCATTCGACAACACGCATTCATAAGGCTCCAGTACCACTGGATGGTGATCCTAATCAGTCGAGAAACCAAGCAGATATGAGTTGGCACCCTTCGAACAGGACACAGCTTTCCTCACATGCATCACAAGATACGCTTCCTCCATCAACATCACCGAGTCGTCCTTCTCATGTTATCATATCTGATGCGTCACAGGCCCACCATAATTTAGCCAGGAGTCGAGAAGACAGTACCAAGAAACGCTCCTCCTACACTTCCGCCATTGAAAACCAGCGAGATACAGAGTGGCAACAAATTGCATCATCGGCACCCTCCTCAAGACGATATCACACCGAGAAAGTTGCAAGAGAGGAAAGACCAAAGAAGATGAAGCCATGTCTGGCTTATCATCACCTTGAACATGTCGAAGACGCTGAAGACGAATTTGGGTCAGACAAACACAGACTCGAGACTTTTGTTTGAGACCAAATTAAACTTTCACCACGCAGGAACCAAATAATCAATTGGTCAGTTAGCACTGTAAACGTTTGCCTCAACGACATTGGCAGGTCCTGTCTTTGGATGGCGCCTTTTAGGGACATACGGAGATGAATTAACAAGTTGTTCGTGGAATGTTTGAGTTTGGAGAGAAGTTGCCTTTATTGTAAAACTATTCGAAAGTTTTATACACACTCTCAGGCTTGCAGTCGCTTTGCAAAAATCGCTGTCTGATCAAAATATTGCAAGTTTTCAAAGAAAAACTGTGATTTGAGCCACGCCTCTTTCCTTCGCACCATTCAACCGTCTAGCCTTAGCCGTTTTCTAACTGAGCTTAAAAGCGACCAAGTCGCATGTTTAATGTTACTTGACCGTATAATTTTATATCATAGGCTAACTGTACCATTTATACATACAGAAACCCACAGTTTATACACAAAACAAATTACAATCATGTGAGTAATATATCGGTTATTATTGTCTGTCTGTTCATAATGTGAGATAAATAGGGAATGCAATAGTTTGTGGCGATTACAAGTCTCGCACATATTCTCTTTAAAGGAGAAGCATAAGTGAAGATTTTACTGTAATTGTGATGATTTCTTAAAACTCGTTTCGGGAGGGATACAAATATGTTAGGCCAAAAAAAAAAGTCTCCGGTTTCTGGTATGGAGCTTGTCCAAAAAGTGGTGCGGCGACGCGGCTTTTTTTTTTTTTTTTACCTGACTTTTTTGCTTCAAATGTCGGCTGATGACTGCAAATGGTGCCCGACTAAACTTAGTGCAAATATATGGGAGTCCAGAGAGGCCACATAAAGCTTATTCTCGATCATAACCCCATCTAAAAACACGTTAAAATTGTGCAGCAGCAGGATTCCAGTCAAACCAGTGAGTTTGGCGGTTTTGAGACATCATCTTTCATTGAAAAATTTTTTTTTTCATTTTGCAGACGCGCATGGCTACGGCGACGCGCGCGCATACCAGAAACCGGAGACTTTTTTGGGGGCCTTATGTAAGGTAATGTCTTTTGTCAATTATACGCCCACTCTGCCAAATCTCCCAAGTGTATTATAAAAATTAAATGTCTTGTATTTGAGGTTGTGACAGTACTTAAAGTCACAAATTGTATTATGAAGATGATATGCTTATTCACCTTAATTTACTTGTCTATGCTAAACAATATAATGCAAATACTAAGTGGCAAAGTATAGAATTGTTTTCATAAAACAAGTATTTTTGAAAAGCAAGAAACACACAAATAATTAGTCATCTCCATAAAACTGCGTCGAAAAAAAATCCTACATAAAATAATTGCATAATGCGATATTCATCAGTTCGGTCCGAGTGCAAATATTATATAAAGTCGGTTGTTTTTACATGTAATCATGCCAGGAATGGTGAATATTAACTTGATAAAGCCGACTTGACCTGGAATTTATTGGAATTCAACCCGCTCACGTCGACTTTGACCAAAACCCCGACATAAAGTATTGTTTGCTATACTGCGCACCATTATGTAGTGTTTGGCTTAGGGTCAAATGTCAACTGCAATACGCGGTGATTAGCGGATTGGTGGATTTTATTTGCTTTTGGCGGGAGCACTCGATCGCAGACCTTTAGACGAGCGTCGCGTATGATATATGAATGTGCTTGATAGTATACTGCTTTACAAAAGGAAGAATCATGAAATGTATTCGCGGATTGGTAATAAGGGAGATATCGGTGGAATATATGTCGCCCTCTGTTGACAAGTGACAAAAACTGACACGAAATTATTGCAATTTGCGTAAAATACCTTTGCTTTTAATAAACCTCAAATTCCCACTTCCCAAGCGGATTCGCATTTCAAGTGCATCGGAACGAAATTGTAAAGATAAAATATAAACGAATTATAAATATCGATTGAATAAACCATGCAACGAACGCTATACGAGAGATACGACCCAAGAATAATAATATTTCAAGTTAATTTGCTTTTTGTAGAATTAGGTGGATTACTTTTCAATTGAGATATTCCACATACAGTAAAACAATCAGCCACAGATAAGTGAAAGAATAAAGCAGTTTCAAATGTTGATGATAAAGAGAAACGGGAAACGGAAAGATATATTTTATTTTGGGAATACAAATGTTTTATTTTTACCTCATTAGTGTTCACAACTTGCATTTACTTATAGGAATCTACCGCTCCAGTTATACACACAGCTATCATAGCAGTACAATCACACACAAATCTAAATTAATCAAATAAAACATTAAAACATATTGACTTTCTCGTTAAACTTTCTGAGAAGATTAATGTTCGGTTTACAAAACAATGTACAAACTGAGCAATATTTTTGCAACTACTTCCGACTTATTACTTGAAAGCTTCTGTAACATTTAATCGATGGGAACATTTCTACAAATCGTCTATGATGAGTATCTCTTTTGCAAAAATTAAGGTACATAATATCAGCCAGTGAAAAACTCAATAGGCTACAAAGCATACGACTTGAGATTAAGAAATAATTGCATTTACACAACGTACAAAGAAATCAATTTTGACTTTTTTTCAACTCTGTAAAATTATGTATCCATAAAGTGAATTTTTTTTCGTACATAACACCAAAATGAAATAAAAATTCAGTTAATATGTCCCTCTCTTCTTGCATTCTATTAATTGTATATGTAATCAATTTTGTTTATCAATAGCAAGCTATTAACCAGCCAGTGGCTACAGCTAAAACAAAGCGAGCAAAACAGATATAACATACGAAAAGGCTGGCTGCATTTGTATTTTTCTACTGCAGCAGCCTCAAAAACAACCAAAAATCGACAACAGTGTCTAGTCTAGTCTACCTTCTTATCCAATCCAACCATCTCGGCGCTCATCTCCCACAAGCGGCGGGCGTTCTCGCTGTTCACGGACTGCTTGTTGGTCTTGGCAGGAACGCAGTCACTGAAAAGATCAAAAGGAACAAACGAAAAACGAGGGTTGTCACTCAGTTTCACTTACTAAGCATTTCATTTTTGTCATAGCTAAAAGAAGCGACATGAAATTGGGCCCGGGGGTAAAGCCTGTGCAAGCACAAAATGCACAAAAAAGTTGCTAGTAAAGTTTAGCACGCACGTTATCCATTTTGATGTCCACAACTATCGAAGTAGTAATGTTCTGCAAAATGGCAACTTTCAAGGCTCATGGACCATTGCACAACAGTGAGTCCTTTTGTGAGCTCGATACAAAGTCATGCATCCGCTGCAAGCCCGATGGATATCATGGAAACGACCATATCGCTTAAGATAATCCAGGCTAGAAGCATACCGTGTGCCTCTGAATGCTTTGAAAAATAAAGCCTTTTTTTCATAGTAGGCCTACTCTTGTCACTATCATCATCGTGTCACCAACCTGTAGTACTGGCCAGTAGTGTTCTTCAGTTCCTCAGACACGGCCAAGTGGATGGTGGTCTGCGCGCCCTGCACAGCCGTCTTACGGAAGAAATTACCGATGGGAGAGCACATGATGATCCTGAAGAAGATTCGCCATGGGAGGCTCATAGCGCATATAGCCTGCTGCGTGTGGCGCGTGAGCTCAGTCTCGATAGTTCCTGGATGCAAGGAGTTGGCTGTCACCTGAGTACCTATGAAGCCGATTAAGAGATCAAAAATTACGTAAAATCGTTAACTTTGGGGTCAAGTTGAACTTATATTTGAATGCCCTACCTCTCACTGTTTTATGACTTCGATTTCGAAACTTGCTTGCGTGCCAAATCTATGCTGTAAACTATTGTGATAAATTTGGTTTCTTTTGCGCTATCTCAAAAGCCATCGGAAGATTTTAAGTATGCTAATTAAAATCGACTGCCTAATAGGTCGGTATTTGGCCGTGACGCAGACTCGGGGCTCAGCTATAATTATATAGGTGTATCCCCTAGATGGTCCAAAGGAGTAGAGTTTTCCTCAATCCATATACATTTCAGTACGTCTTTAAAAACCTGCATTTGAAACGATGAAACGATGCATCTGTTTCACACGCTACCTTACCTTTGAGACGTTTCGCTAACTCAACGGTGAAGAGAACGTTGGCCAGTTTGCTCTGCCCGTAGGCCACCATCGGGTCGTAGTTCTTCTCCAGGTTGATGTCATCCCAGAACATCTTGGCGTTATTGAAGTCGTGGGCAAGGGAGGATACGTTGACGATGCGAGCAGGGGCGGAGGATTTGATGAGATCCAGCAGGAGATTGGTCAAAAGGAAGTGGCCCAGATGATTTACACCAAGCTGCATCTCAAACCCATCTTCTGTCTTCAGCGGTGGGCACATCATGATTCCTGTACACGGATTCATGACAAAGAAAGTGAATTAAGCCATGGTTTTTGATCAACAGACTCAGAGGGAATATAGAAAAACATAATGTAAATTTACGTAAAGGTTAATTCAAAAACTGTCATTAGAATGTATTCTAGTGAAACACAGAAGTTAACGTATAGGCCTACGTGTTGAAAAAAAATGTATAGCTCACTAACAGTTATGGAGGGTAATCATTTCTATTTCATTGCCTTTGACTTACTTTGTTGCATGTCAAAAGGCCATTGATGTATTCTTTACCTGCATTGTTGATGAGTATATCCAGCTTTTTCACCTCTGCCTTGATCTTCTTGGCGCACTCTCTCACCGAGGCAAGAGAAGCCAGGTCTAGTTTGCGTACCGTCACCTTGTTGTTACCCGTGGCTGTACGAATCTCAGAGGCGGCTGCTTCGGCTTTGGGCAGATCACGGCAGGCTATGATCACACGAGCACCTGGAAGGGTCAAAACAAGACTAGGAATCGCGAATTTTGTATTTCAGCAAGACCTTAATTCATCTGCGGTAGCAGAAGCAGACATGAGTTTTGACTACTACAGGTTGCGACATAATGTCATGCTGCTGGGGCTACCTCACTGTTATTTTTGCTATTGCTGCTGCTTGTGTTTCTTTGCATTGTGCATAATTGTTGCTGATGGGGATACGATGGTGATACTTTGCAGTCGCAACTGCTGCTGTTGCCGTTAGCTACTTATTGGCGAATCGCAATTTT